AGTTCAAAACTGAGACCGAAGAAATGCTGAAACACCAGGAAATCACTTTTGTTAACATCGTTAGTTCAAACACCAAAATAATAAACGATCGTTTGGATAAAGTTGAACGTAACATTTTAGAAAACTCAAACAAAATAGCATTTATTATGAAGGAAGTTGATGAAATTAAAATCTGCTTAAAATTTCATGAAGACTTATTTAATAAAAAAATTAAAACCGCGATTGATACAATTACAAAAGTTAACTTATCGAATATCAAATCAAATAACAACAGCGACGAGCTTTCAAAAATAAACAACAAACTTAGAGAGATTGAAGATCGATCGAGGCGAAACAACCTTAGGATTGATGGTGTCCCCGAAAACGACAACGAAAGCTGGAATGACTGTGAACTAAAAGTTAAAAAAATATTTAACGATTACCTAGGGGTTCATAATGTTAAAATTAAAAGAGCGCATAGGACAGGGAAAATTGAAAACAAAAAACACAGAAAAATCGTCCTGAAACTTTTAGATTTTAAAGACAAAACCGAAATACTCAAGAATTCTTTTAAACTAAAAGGTAAAAACAACTATATATCCGAAGACTACTGTATGGAAACAAACCTAATACGAAAGGAACCACGCGACAGAATGTAAGTCGAACGACAGGCTGGTAAATTTGCTTACATTTCGTAAGATAAACTTATTGTCAGAGATTGGAATACTAGAAAACGTATTGCAACATCAAACTCGCATCCAATGTGCCCACAAGAAGTCAAAGTTTCTCAAATTGAAGATGTTAACTGCGAAAGCAAAACTGCGCAAAGAAGGTAAGTATGTCATTTTTAGTTATGAAGTAATTTTTTGCAGAGATCTCAGAAACTCTATACCACCTAGTTTTAAAAAGAAATTTTTTTCTAATAAGTTATTCCCAATAACAAATATGGCTGAAATTAACGACTTCGAATCCCTTAGCTTTAAATTTACTGAAATAAATAATTTTATCACTAATGATAACATCGACCCTGATGTAAATTTTTTTATCAATTCGTTTACAGATTGCTCCTATCATTTCCCAAATGAATTAGAAGAATTTCTTTTTAAACACTTTAATGACAGAAATGCGCATGCGCAAAAAGTTAAAATTGTTCATATAAATATTAGAAGCCTCAGTTGCAATTTTGAAAAATTGCTAAATTTACTAGATGAAACAAAAAACTTTTTTAATATAATTTGCTTAACTGAAACATGGCTAAACTCAAATGACCTTAATAATACTAAACGTTTTTATATTCCTCATTTTAAATTGATTTCGCTCAATAGACAAGTTAATAAACGCGGCGGTGGAGTTTCTATATACATAAATGAAAATATCACGCATCTAGTTAGGAATGATTTATGCGTTTCTGACAGCGATAAAGAAGTTTTATCTATTGAAATTATAAACAAAACATCTAAAAATATATTATTAAGCACCTGCTATCGACCACCTGACGGCGTGAGCGTGAACTTGAGCATTTTTTTTGAACAAAATATCTTTAAAAAGAGCTTAGAAGAAAACAAAAAATGTTTTATTTTTGGAGATCTTAATATGGATTGTTTTACTTATAATAAGGACAATAAAGTTAAAAACTTTTACGACTCAATTTTTGAAGCTGGAGCAGTTCTTTTGATTAATCGCCCTACTAGGGTAACTAAAAGCTCAACGTCTCTAATTGACAATATCATTACAACTGATATCTTTAACAATGACATCCAAAAAGGCATTTTAAAATTTGACATTTCTGATCATTTCCCAGTTTTTCTGACTCTTAACTCAAACGCTTCGATTAATAATAATTCCAAAACAATATTTATTCGAGATTTTAATCTAACCAATATGAATCTCTTTAAAAATCAGTTATCTCTTTTGCACTGGGATCATATTAATTTCAAGGGGAATGTTGACACCATTTATGAGACCTTCCTTAAAACATTTTACGCCGTATATGATGCAAACTTTCCAATTATTGAAAAAACAATTAAAATAAAAAATTTTAATAACACTTGGGTTACCAAGGGTTTCAAAAAGTCATCTAAAACAAAACAGAAGTTGTATATAAAATATCTTAAAACGAAATCGTCTAAAAATGAAAAAATATACAAAGATTATAAATATTTGTTCGAAAAAATTCGTAAACGCTTAAAAAAAAATTATTACTCTAGAATATTAGACAAATTTAAAAATAACTCTAAGCGCACTTGGCAAGTAATAAAAGAAATTACTGGCAATCAAATAACATGCTCAAGTTCCCTCTCCCAAATGATTATAGTTGATAACAAAAGTATTTATGAATCAAAAGCTATATCTAACGAATTTAATAAATACTTTATCGAAATCGGCCCTAAATTAGCTAATAATGTTCCCTTTACCCCTGTCGCATTTAATGATTTCTTAGTACCAAAGGATGATTGCAACTGTTCCAAAGAAATATACTCAGAATTATCTTTTGATGAATTCCAAATCGCCTTCAAATCACTAAAAAAAAAAAAAAGCTATCGGAGCTGATGGAATAAATGGTGACATAATTATCGAGTGTTTTGATCATCTCAAAAATATTCTTTATAAAGTTTATAAATCATCTGTCCACCAAGGAGTTTTTCCTGATCGTCTAAAATTGCAAAAGTTATTCCAATTTTGAAAGAAGGAGACTGTTGCAATATCAGTAACTATCGCCCTATCTATCTACCTTTACTGTAACTATCGCCCTATCCTTTCTACCTTTTCAAAAATCTTAGAGCGTATTATGTACAATAGAGTATACAATTATCTTGTCTCCAATAATCTTTTTTTATTGTAATCAATTTGGTTTCAAAAAAAATAATTCTACCGAACATGCAATCATCCAGTTTGTACGAGAAATCTCAAATTCCTTTCAAAGATCCCAATATACATTAGGTGTTTTTATTGACTTGTCGAAGGCTTTTGATACTGTCGACCATGAAATCCTTCTTGAAAAACTAAAATACTACGGATCAAACTATATAACTATAAAATGGCTTCGTAGTTACTTATCAAACCGCAAACAATTTGTTTTTATTAATAACTATAACCAAAGCCATCTACTAAATATTTCCTGTGGTGTTCCCCAAGGCTCTATCTTGGGGCCACTTTTGTTTTTAATCTATATAAATGACTTAAATAAAGCCTCAAACTTAATGAGTATCATGTTTGCCGACAACACCAACTTATTCCTGACCAATAATGACATATCCAAACTCTTTTCTACAATGAATGATGAACTCAAAAACATATCTACTTGGTTCAAATGTAACAAGTTAACTCTTAACATTAATAAAACCAAATGGGTTCTTTTCCATTCACTCTCTAAAAAACGCTATTTACCCCAACATTTGCCCAAAATATTTATTGATAAAGTTGAAATAAAAAGAGATTTTGTTACTAAATTTTTAGGAGTGGTTCTCGACGAGAACATTACATGGAAACCGCATATAGAATATATCTGCTCAAAAATATCTAAAAGTAACGGAGTCTTATATAAATCTAGATCATATTTAAACAAAAAAGCCTTAACCCAACTCTATTATTCATTTATTCACACCTATATTAATTATGCCAACATTGCGTAAGGAAGCACCGAAAAAAGTAAGCTAAAATGCCTTTTTCGCCGTCAGAAGCATGCGATCTGATTGATTAATTTTGCAGATCGTTTTACTAATTCCAAACCATTATTTATGGAGATGAAAATACTTAATATTTACGAGCTCAATGTTTATAACATTTTATGCTTTATTTACATGTGGAAAAACGATTTAACTTTACCTGTCTTTAAAAACCTTTTTTCTCTAAACCCAATTAATAAATATTTACTTAGAAATAAAAATTTTGTACATGAACCTATTTGCAGAACAAAATTTAACAAATTTTGCATTACATTTTGAGCACCCTATCTTTGGAATAAAATTGTTATACCTAACTTTGATATATCCAATACATTTCCGATCTTTAAAAGTAAACTTAAAAATTTTGTTTTATCTATTGATGATATATTTAAATACTTTTTATAACAATCACGTATTTGTCTTTTTAATTGTAAGACTGTTGTATTTTCTCTTGCCTTTTAAAAAAAGAGATGTATTACTGTATTTACTATGTATATATATGTATTTATATATTTACGTTTTTATAAGATCTGATGATATGATCAGACTTTTTATTATATATAACATTAGTGGTTTGATTTATATTTCCAATTTATATCACGATTTATTGTAATTTTTTAGTTTTGTTTACGCATTGATTTTAAAAAAATTGTAAAAGGTTCTGATGATAAGATCATTACGAGCTTCTTTCAGAAGCCTTGTCTGTTTATCTTTGTAAGCAACGACAAAAATGAGACAAAAAAAAACAAAAAAAAAAAAATGTTTTTAAAATAGTTGCTTTTAAATTTAATTTTTATTTGTAAAGATGTAGCAATATTATTACTGCAAGTCCATTCCTCAATTACGCAACGCCAATAAACAAATCGATAAAGATCAAATGTTTCATCGCAGAGCCTTAAGTTAAATAAAAAATCAAAATAGCTTATTAAGTTTAATGAAAAACGCGTAAAAGAGCTCTAGATCTCCTACTCCTTTTTTAAAAATAAATTTAGCGTTGCGTAATTTTTGGACGATCCCTAAGATAATCATAAAAGTATGCAGCGCCATGGCTCGTGAATCGAAGACCCCACTTCCCCCCTCCCCTCAAAAATAAAAAAAAAGAAGATGTCATTAGAAGAAAATCCTCAACTTTTTAAAATGACCCCTACATTTGAAAATGGGTCCCTTCATTTTGGGGATATGAGGTAGCCTAGCCACGGTTTAGATAGTATATATGTTGTTTTAAGTTCCAGCTTTTAATTGTAAAAACGAAGGAAGTAAAAAAAAAATCACGTACGTTGATGGAAATGCCCTGAAATTATATTTAAGTTATTTATTATACGTCATTGATAACAAAATTATAAACAAAACAAGTTGCGGCGGTAAAACTCAAATTTATTTAGAAAAGCAAAATAGTCGAAACATCATGGCTGGAAATTTAACCGAAGCATTTATCAAAGAAAAATTACCGATTTGCCCAAATCATGGTAATGATTTTTAATGGGTTTAATTCATAAAATAAAGAGAGATTTAAATAATGTACTATAGTTGGACGAAGTCTATTGAGCTGAGGAATAGTTATAATGCTGAAAAATAATAATTTCCTTTAATACTTATTTTATATTTTATAAGTATTCGATTCTTTGTATCAAATAGTGTTCTAAAGATAGGAATAATATAAAATACTATTTATATTTAATATTATTGTTATGTATTATGTGCTTTATTTTTATTTTTAAAATAGTGAAAATTTTAAAGTAATTTTTAAATTAATTTGAAAAAATCTTTTAAATACAAATCAATTTGAAAAAAAAAAGAATAAATTTGATGTTACAATTTGTATATACAACTATAGTCGCCTTAAAATTTTAAATATATAATATATATATTTTTAAACTTAACTTTGTATTTTTTTGTATTTTTGTTGTTTTATATTTTTTTGTATTTTTGTTATTTTTTGTGTTTGTGTTTTTTTTGTGTTTTCATTTTATTTTAGTTTTTGTCTTTTTCTCTCTGTTTTTGTAATTTTTTATTGTACCAAATGGCTCCAGAGACACAAATTTTTTTTTACCATATGTATTATTTGATACTGTTATTTTTAAAAGACCTATATTGTTTAATTGGATAAGTTTGTTTAAAGCAGGATGGCATTTTCCTTTAACAACTGATTTAATTATTTTCATTGCATGATCCTTTCTTTGACCCGCTAGTGCTTTAAGACCAAGTTTCTTTAATTAATGGTGCAGCATGGGAATTTCGTGGTGTATGGGAAATGATTCTCGCAGCTTGTTTTTGTACTATGCCTAATTTTTTTATATGGGTGTTTGGTAATGAAACTTTTTTATTATCGACTCTGCTGTTTACAGGTTAGATGCTGGTCCAATCTTACTAATTTTACAATGTTTTTAGACTTTATTGTTATTTATTGTTATGTATTGTTATTGAATTTGGTAGTCAGCAGATATTTGCTTCCTGAGTGGTTTGAAAATAATTAAGTTGGTTTTATTTATGTTTATAGTCAATTCCATTTTCTAAAGACTTGTTGAAAATTTGAGTGAGATTATAAGAAATCAATTTTGAAATTTTTTTGATCAAAGATGCTTGAATGTCATCATAACGGGAGGCTGGATTTGTTTTTAAGACATTTAGTAGTTTTTCTGTTTGAGTTATCTTTATTTTTTCAAATTGGGAGGAATTAAGAATATCATATCAAGTTGGCCATTCTAGTATTTTTTTTTCAGGTTGATGTATTACTGAAGCAAAATAGTCATTTAATTTGTTCAACATTATTCGTTTTTCATTTATCTGATTTGCTACTTTGCTTGTAAAAGTAACTCTTTTTATGAATTTCCAACTATCTTTTGGGTTTTTACTTGTAAATGCCTCTTCTCCTTTTTCTTTTTCTTTTTTTCGTATTTGACCTTTCCGATTGTCAAACTCAGTCAGTTTTTAAGTTGTCAGAGTGATTGCGTCAACTTCATTTTTATCTAACTTTTAAACAGTTTCTAAACTCTTCTGCAGATAACTACCATAAATTCTCTCTAAATTTGGTACCAATTTAAAAAGACGTAAAACTATCAATTAATTGAGCAATATGGTTTAATCTATGTTTATCAAAGTAACATTATTTTAGTCTTCACACCCTTATTGTCAATTATATCTCCCTTCCCCCTCTGTTTACTGACATCATTTATGGGTAGCCCCATAGCAACACTTTTGATAAAATAATAATAAATAGTAAAAATATATATTTATAACAATAATTTAGATATTGTAATTAATTTTTTTTTTCTGTTTCATTCCCAACAAGACTGCAAGCAACTAGTATCAAACTGGGAGTTACTAGAAAAAAAAGAAAAGAATTATAGAAGAAATAAATGGTTGACAGAAGACTTAAAAAGTTAAAGGTTGAATGAGTCAGAAAAACATGAGGGTGGGAGAGAGTTCCAAAGGGTTAAAGTGCGAGGAAAAAAACTAGACAAATAAAAGTTTTTGGAGCATGCAGGGACAGATACAGTAAAATAATGAGACTTTGATGAATGACGAGTCAAGCACGAATAAAATTTAGTTGATGGAACTAGAGATGATAGTTCCTTTAAGCAGCAACCATGATAGTATTTGAGAGAGCATCATTAGAAGAACCAGTCCACATATGACAACAGTATTCCATACAGGGGTGAATAAGAGATTTGAAGAGGTAGAGAATGGAATCAGGAGAGAGAGAAAATGGCAAGCAAGATAAAGAGAAGCAACCTTAACAGATGCTAATTTAGAAATCAATTGTATATATGGTTTCCATGAAATGTCAGTAGTAAACAATATTCCAAGAAGATCTAAAGAAGAGGACTCAGTGAAAGGGTTGCCATTCATTAATATAGGAATGTTGACAGTATTACGACAGTTGCTTGCAGCAAATAACTAAGTTTTGTTGGAGTTGAATTTTACAAGCCACTGTGAGCCCCAAACCCCATCCCCATCTCATGCACGATAAAAGCTTTCAGTCACAGCAGTTAACAAGTCAGCTGTAGAGTGAGAGGATCAAAAACCGTATTGATTTTCTGACAGCAAGTTATTTGACTCAAGATAGGATGTGAGAAATTTGTTTATCAAAGACCTTGCTAATAACAGAAAGAAGGCTGTTTAAACGATCGGAGGGGTCCAGAATGTTCACCAGAGTTTTTGGAAATTGTAACAACAGATGCCATTTTCGAGCAAGCTGGAAAACAAGACTCAGTCAAGCACTTTTTAAATTGTTTATAGAAAATTGAAGAGAGTTCTGGAGAACAGTTTTTACCTGGTATGGCCATACCAGTATTGCTAAGTAACCCAGTTATGACCAATTGAACTATGTAGATATTAATTCATAAAGAAGCCCATCCTTGTTGTGCTTATTAAATTTTAATTTGAAACAATTTAGATAAGTAACTGTTACAGTATCATTATCAAGTGAGTTCCAGCGATTGACTACACGTTCTGAGAAGAAATATTGTCTGACCATAGTTGTGAATCTATGTTTAAATAATGTAAGTGGGTGAACTCTTGTTCTTTTGTTTGTGGCTAATTCAAAATTTTTTTTGTATGAAATAGTAGAAAGCCCATGCATCTTGTACACTTCTATTAAATCCGATCTGTTCCTTCGTTCCTCAAGTGTCCATAGACTTAGTTTAATTATTCTGTCTGGAAACTGTAGATGTTCCACTTCTATTATCATTTTACTGGAAAGATGTTGTATTTTTTCAATTAGTTCTTTATCTTTGACATAAAAGGTGACCAAACAGATGTACAATATTCTATGTGTAGACTAACTAATGATTTATATAGTTTCATCATAATATCAGATTGTTTATAGGCAATTGTGCGATTTATCATTCCTAGAATCTTGTTTGCATTACCATAAACCCTCATACACTGGTTAGATGCTTTCAAATCATTTGGTATTACAACTCCTTTTTCAGTCTCAATTTCTTCTAAAATAACCTTGTTTATACTGTATTCATAACCAATATTTTTTTTCTAAAGTGCATAACTTTGCATTTCATAACATTAAATTGCATTTGCCATTCAATGGACCGCTTAACAAGCTTTTGCAGATCTTCTTGGAAATGCAAACCATCACTTCTGGTATTAACTTTAGAGAATATTTTAGTATTGTCAGCAAATTTTAATATATGGTTTGTCACACCGGTATCTAGATCATTAATATATGTATATATCAAAAATAGGATTGGACCTAATACTGATCCTTGTGGTATGCCACTAATTACTCTCCTAAAAGAATAATTTTTTCCATTCAAAACTACTCGTTGAACCATCAACCAAGAGTTTATCCATTGAAAAAGTTTGCCTTTAATTCTATGACTATACAACTTTTTTAGCAATCTTTGATGAGGAACCTTATTAAAGGCTTTTGCAAAATTAATATATATCACATCTACACAATCTCGATTGTCAACAAATCCTGTTACTTGTTCCAAAAAGTACAAATATAATAACGGTGATTCATCAATATAATCAGATAACAGGGCTTCATTATTTTGGTCAATTTTATTTGTGCAAACTCTATCAATTATATATTTCCCCAAGATTTCTTTAGCCTTATGATTTTCATTCGTTCTGATCTGCATCTTACCACATGTATTCATTCCCCCAAATATTTTTTTGCTGTTTTTTCCTTCGCCTCTGCGACAAGAATTTTGAGATCTTTTCTTTCTTTTATTGTTAAATCATGAGCCACTTTGACTAACTTATACTTAGTATCTGCATCTTTAAGTTTACTTATATTCTCCATCACAAGGTTTTTTGAAATTGTTTTTTTTACTAATAATGGTCTTGAACAAACAAACGTATTCTCGTCTTTAATTATATCTTCTTAAACAATATCCGAACTAATTACACTGAAAAGTTCAAGGCAAAATTTCTCGTCTTCTTGGTATCGTTCATCAGCTAAGGTGTTGTTGCTTTCTGGTACTCTTAATAGTATTGTATTATTTCTATGAGTTTACTTGTTCTCTATTTCATCAGCTTTCTCTTGAGCTTGTCGTAGAACATTTTGCATCTTGTCAACATCTATTGCTCTGGTCTTTAGTTCATTATCTAGCTGTTGAGAAATGACCATTTTTTCTCTTGATACTTGACCCTTTTGTCTATATGAAAGTCTGTTTTTTGGATAATAGAGTTTAATTCTTTTTGAATGTTGTTTACTTTTTTATCAAATTTTTCTAGTTGAATAGCAGCTTCTAGACAATATTTATTATCTATCTCCTTTTTTCTTTCTTCCATATGTTTGATAAGTTATAGTTCAAAACCTTCAACTTTGTCTTGTAATCTCTTAATTTCTATAATTAGCTTACCTGCACCAGAGTTACAACCTTTACAGAACCAGTGTGTCTGGTCATTCGAACTAATAACTTCATAGAACTCATTTGTAATCTCTACACACTTACAGTGATGCTATTGTCGCCAATTTCACACTGTATAGCGTCTTTGCTGCCTAAGTTCTTGTCACAAACAACACACTCATTTTTCTCGCAAATCGTGACTTTGTCATTATCTTAACTTCACTTATTGAACCTTTAAGGATTCATTTAGCAGTTGCCATTTTCACAATCCTTAATGACATAGGGCTACCACCTTTTAAAATAGTGGATTACCTCCTTGTTATGAACTTTTTTAATATGTTAGTTAGCTTATTAACACAAATACAAAGTTAAGTTTTTTGTATTTTTTTCAGTGAAAATTTTTGTATGAAAATGTTTTGAAACATTTTGTATGACTGTGACAGGATTGTTATCTGGACCACAAGTTGTAGAAGAGTTTAATCGAGATATGACTTTAGCAACGGAAATTGGAGTGATTTAAATGTCTAACAATGGGTTAACCTGTTTAATTGGAATGGATAGGTTTTAAGATTCAAGAGTAAAATAAGAAGAAAATTTCTTTGCAAATAGTTCAGCCTTATCCTTGGGAGAGGTAGTAGGATCAGACCTGTGAATGAGAGATAGAATGTTAGACCTTCCTTTGTTAACAATGCTGTTGAAGATTTTCTAAAAGTCTCTAGAGCCTAACTTATGAGATAAGATACAAGATTTAGTGAATTGAGAATAATGGAGCTTAGCATCTGACAATGCCTTTTTACATTTCTTGCAATAATAAACAGCTGTTTGTTCTCAAAAGAGTTATTCTTATGAAAAAGATGAAAAAAACGATAACAATTAGATATAACAGCTGCACAAAAGCATGAAAACCATATATTAAAATGAGGCTTGACTTGGAACGAACGAAAAAGAATAAAAGCATCTATTTCTGCCTGAATTCAGGTTACATAGGACGTGATTTTTAGAAGGTTACATAGGAGGTGGTTTTCAGCTGAAAAATGCAGGATCAATGGTGTTAGAGGCGAGCCATTCAGTGTGATGAGCATTAAAGTTATCAATAACAATTTTGGCAATTTTAGCAGAAATTATATCTGAAAGAGTGCAGTCTTGGGAAGAAGGAGAACGATAAAGAACAAAGAGAAAGGTAATAGAGTGATTTCAAAGGTAATAGAGTGATTTTGATCCAACCTGATTTCACGACAAATAGGTAAATTTATGTGTATGTATACCTCTAAGCTTAGCATGTGAGTTTTTGCAAATGAATAAATAGTACCCATCAACATTGAGATCAGAAGAAGGGATAGGAGAAATTAGTCTCACTAAGGGCAAGCAAGTCTGGTGAATTTTGTGTGTGGTAAGATTCAACTGATATAAGCTTGCTTCACATACCATGAATATTAGTAAAAGATATATTAAAACAGTTAGGTGATGGAGATGGTTTTTTATGTTTAATATTTTGATTTACTTTTGGCATATTTAAGTTTAAAGAGAACTTGGCTCACTCATAGATAAAGCACAGCCTCCCAAGTAATGAGCTATGCAGTTTTCTCAGTCCTGTTAATTAACCCGATGTAACATAGGGCTTCTTATGTGGCCTCAACAATATGCACCAAAAGCATTAACAGGGACACCATCCATGCACAACATGATACTGTTAATACTCTGATATTTAACAGCTGTTGATGGAATTAGCTTCTCTGAGAGCTACCACAGAGTCCAGGAAACCTTGCTACCAGCCAGCCTCAGAACCATTAAACTGAGTTTTAGGGCTTTACCTTTATTAGGAGATAACAGGAAGAGTTGCATAGCCTCTATCAAGACACAAGTAAAAGTCTATGAGAAAAGTCAAGAAGATTGAGCATTTATCATCCTAGGCAGGTAACAATGTAACACAGGTTTACATCTGCGCCAGCCTAATAGATGAAGAAGGGGATCGAAGCTGATCAACAGAATTATTCTGCTTGCCCCTAAAGTCTTTGTCTAGGAAGTCTTCAAGACAGTAGCTGGATGCAGTTAACATCTGCCCAAGATGAATATTTTTATGGAGACATCGTCTCTAGCCTTTACTCAACAAAGAACCTCAAGGCAGGGGAATTTAAGGTGGATGCAGTTTACATCTGCCAAAGATGTATTTTTTTATCGAGACACCATCTTTAGCCTTTACAACCAAGAGCCCTACAGCAGGGTATTTTTAATTGGGAGTTTGTTTCTCCTAGCCTTAGCCTGAAAAAGCACACTTTACAAGGCAGCAGGACATGTGGCAGGTGAATCTGGGTTACATATTACCAATAGTAGGGTAATCGTGATGATCCTGAACCTGACTTGATCTGGAGTAATTAAAATGAGCCACTTCCTGTAAACAGCAACTTAAAGCATCGGGCATAATATTTTGGAAATGCATTAAGAAAAATATTACACCCAACAAAATACTAGAGATAAAGGTGAACATAAGATTAATAGTTGGAGTGTCTAGTTAGTTAATGAGCTCCCACTGCATCAAAACAGTTTAAGCAGAACACAAACATTTAAGCAGAACACATATATGTATACTTACGAATAACTTACTAGTGAGTAAACACCGCACCAGAGTTTCAGACAGAACACAAGCATACAGGTAGCAACTACACCGCACCAGAGGTTCAGACAGAACACAAACATACAGATGAATCAACACTGCACTAGAGGTTTAGAGTACAAGCATACATATAAAGTAGATTACAAGTTAGCTAAAACAGTAACTGAGGCACCTTAAACTATATAAAAAAGACACGCCAAAAAAAAAAAAAAAATAATGTATATATTACTATATGCATGACCGATTTTAAATTGTACTGATGACAGCAAGCAATCTCTTTCCAGTGTTTGCTTAGAAAGCCAATCCTACATGGCAGCAGGACATGAAACAGTGAAATCTAGTGCATACATTAATATACTACATTACTATTAATAAATATTATTAATTCATATATTAAGACATACTATTATATTGTATAATACATATTATATAATATATTATATATATATTTTATATATATATATATTATATTGTATAATACATTATATAATACATACTATTATATTATTTATTACATACTATTAATACATATATTATACATAATACATACATTAGTATACTAGTGCAAATTAGAAAAAATATATAAAAAAATCAACTTTATAAACACTTTTTTTTTACAAGTTTTTTAATACTTTAAAAAGTCGTCATTTCTTAACCAGCAATGATAATGACCTTTAGTCTTTGCATTTAATTAAAATTTCATTCTAGTTTTTTTCTAAGAGTCAATAATTATTTTTTTTCTACATTGGTGACAGTTAACTAAACTAATAATTAACAAAAAAATTTACCAATATCTCTTTCCATAGCATACGAAATAGGTAAAGAGAGAAACATGAAAGGCTGATACAAATACACACTTGTCATAAGAAACAATGCTATGAAATTAACCTTGCATAGTGCAGGGATTATCCTTTTCCAGATATTTCCGGAATACCGGATATTTTTTTCAACTTTTAGTTTATCTAGATATCAAAACATTTTCTATACATACAATTTTAGGTATAATTTTTGTGATATATTTGTTTTTTAAACTTTAAGATTTTTTCCGGATATTTTACCCAAACAATTTTCTAGATTTTTAAAATATGACCTAGATGATCTATGATAGTGGTTGAGATAACTGATTCATTGTTAATTAAATAATGGATTCATGTTTGTAAACAAATTACAAAGATTTACTATTTACTTCTTGGCCAAGTTCTAATAAAACTTTATCCATTTTAAGTAGCTTAGCAACACCATTACTTATCCAGTCAGTAGTTGATCAAACCTTTTCTTCTGATTATTTTGAAGTTAAGTTATACTTTTTTAGTTCATCATGAATAGAATTTAGTGCAAAAGATAAAAACTCTAATGAATCATGCTGCTTAATATTTCCGAAAACAGGATGCAGCTTTGAAAGAACTTGATGAAAGGCTTTTAAATGTAGAACTAAATACTTTCCACTCGACCTTCACAAATATATTTTGCAGTTGCTTCATAAACTACAAATTGATTTGAAAATCTGTCTGCATTATAACTTTCTTTAAAGGCTGTGTGCCCAAAAGGCATTGCCAAGATGCATTTATTAAGCATGTGTTTCCTAAGTTGCTTTAACCACAAATGCTGGCGATTTCTGCATTACTATGAATATTTGTTGATATTTGATCTAATTTAATAGTTTGCTCTAACTGTTGTAATTTAAAGCAGTATTTTTAAATGGCATTCTCTGTTTAGAATGTCATAATCATACAGTGAAAAAACGATATGGATATATCCCTGCTTATTACACAGGGACTAAAAAATTTCAGAATGTATTTTTTTCCGTGTTATAATAATTTCTTTCTGTTTCATATTAGTTGATAGTGTGTAAGATGACATTAACCTTTTCTTTTTACAAGGTGTTGGCAAACATAAAGATCTTAAATATGCCAAAAAATTGTTTGCAAAGAGAGATAATAGTACATGTATTATAGCAGATATATCATTAATCTTAATATCATTATTTGGAAATAAATTATCACAATTTTTGTTGAAATATTTTGACAGATAGAGATGTCAGTCACTGCATACTTGTATATTTTATTTTGTCTATTTTTTTTTTTTTTTTTTGTTAAATAGGATATTCATTCTTATTGCTGAGCATAATGTGACAAGTCACAATAAATCTGTCAACTGTTTTTAACTTCAGTTAACTCCTCCCACTTCTCATTGGCATTTTTAATTTAAAAAATAAATTTTTTTAATCTAAATCAATCAACACATCTTTGCCAACTCTAATTAAAATTAATATTGTTGAGTTTTATTTTATACTTTTTATGAATAGAAAACACAATGTCATTAAAATGTTTGTAATTGTGTTAATTAAGTATATTTTTTATTAGGAAAACCTTGTGTGTTGAAGACTGGTACAAAAAACAATAATACATATGGAAAGACTTTTTTTATATGCAACAATGGTAATAATGGATGCTCTTTTAATATACCAGCAAGGTATGTATGTGAGTATATATATATATATATATATATATATATATATATATATATATATATATATATATATATATATATATATATATATATATATATATATACAGGTGCTTTTCTAGACCATTTTCTAAAGCGTATTTTGTCCGTATTTGGCCCGTATGTATGTATATATATTTATATGTATATATATATACAGGCCTTGCGATGAATAAGAACTGCGCGACGCATAAGCACGACGTGATTTTTGACGTCATTAAATTCTTTTTATTTGTTTTTCATATTTATCGACATTAACTGCACCAATTTACTTAATTACCGCAAAACTACTTTAAATCGTTTATGTAGAAATGTTATTATTTAAAAATGTTTTGGAATGTTTCGTTTTTTAAAATGTAAAAACATTTGTTTATTTTCTCGACGTTTGTCACGTTTTGTCTATACTAAACGAATAAAAAACATTATAACTTAAATTTAAAAAAGATTATAAAATATGCTAATATTTGATTTTTTTTTCTTAAATATGTAATTTAAAGTTTTTCAAATAATTATTTTTTCTTTTTAAAAAGTCAGCGAGTAATAAACTGGAAATTTTAATATTGTACGATTAAAAACTGTGCAATAGCTAATATTTTTACAAGCGATTTTATAATATTTATTTATTTTTATTTATTTTCATAAAGCGGTTGATAAGCACAATCACTCGTATTAATAAAAAACTTAAACGAACGTTTTGAATAGATTTTTAATGTTAACAAGGAATTTTATTTAAGTAATATAAAATAAAATGTTAGAATAAAAATCTTATAGGTATAAAAGAAATATTTCAGCAAAAAAATTATTCTTAAAAATTATTATTAAAAATTATTCGAAAAACTATTGACTTTTTATTTTTCAGCAGCTGTTCTTGAGCACGCCTCGTTGAGTTTCGGTAACTTTTAACATAAAAGTGATCGTTATTATTTAAGTAATTTTTTTGAGTTACTTTTTACAAAAATTTTAATAATTGTACTTTTTTATTGAATCAAGTAGAATACGTTTTAATATTAATCCTTTTTTTTTTTTTATTTGCGCTCACCAATTTTTAAAATGTTTCCTCAAAATTACTCTTAAATACTTTAAATACGTCTAACAGTTAATAAATATTTTTAAATCTTTTTTTTAAAAACCTAACAAACCCCCGTAAAATAATTATTTAAGTTTAAAATCTAAAGCTAAAAGATAGTATTTTTGTTCAATTTTATCGACAACTTTGCTATTGCTGAATAATTTTATTAAAATGTTAGCTTAAAAGATTTATAATTTTTTTTTAATCTGAATTTTTTCTTTTTCTTCTAATAATGAGCATATTTAATTTTTTTTTAATTCAAACCTTTATTTCAACTGCGTGCGGTTTTTAAAATACTTTATTAAATGTTAAAATAATCGTAAATTACTTCATTAAAATTCTGCTCAAAAATATCTTTAAATATACTCAAACAAAAAATTTTTTGCTCGACGCAAATAGCCCTAGCTACACGCAAAATCGCTCTTGGACGATGTAAAATTCACATCGCCCGACGCTTTATCGCAAGGCCTGTATATATATATATATGTATATATATATATATATTTATATATATATATATATATGTATGTATATATATATATATATATATATATATAAATATATATATATATATATATATATATATATATATATGTATATATATATATATATATATATATATATATATATATATATATATATATATATATATGTATATATATATATATGTATATATATATATATATAATATATATATATATATATATATATATATATAAAATTATTTTTCTATTTTTATTTATTTATTGTCTACCGTATTTGGCCCATATATATATATATATATATATATATATATATATATATATATATATATATATATATATATACAGGCTTGGTCGGGAAGCGGGAGCGATCGCTCTCGATTGCTGACCAATCAATGACCTATTATCTCTGACGTAAATAATATTTAGTTGCGAAAAGCTGGCCAGATATTTTAGTCGTTTTGAGAACATTTTAACAAAAGATTATTTGGACCGATGAGAGACAATTACAAAAAGTTTAATATAAAATTAAGCGATGTTTTTTATCTAAAGTAACATCTTACGATTGTTTAAAAAGGAAACAAATATTCTTTATTAAACAAAGTTTGCAAGTTTTAGTTTTATTTAAGCTAAATTATTTTATAAATAAAAAAGCTAATTTTTATTAATACCTATTTTATGTTTCGCGTAGTTTGAAAAGTTTAACATATTTGAAGCAATTCTTCTTAGTAAGATAAACAATTGAAATAATTAAATCATTGAATTACTATAGACTTTAAATTAACAAGATAGAAATCAACTAAAAAGGTTAAAAATATGACGAGGAAGCAAAACTGCTTCACAGTATCGCTGATGATGTTTAGTGAGTGGGCTTTTTAATTAGTAATTTAATTAGTAATTAAAGCAGAAAAAAGTGTAACGAGTTTTTAAGAATGGCAAATTAAGCGAAAATAATTAGAGTTAGTAAACCAATATCTAGAAACTTTTTTTTATATCTAATTATTTGCTATATATATTTGTGTTCTGTCGTGACCTCAGGCGCGGTGCTTGTTCATCCGCGAGTTACTTTGTATGCGTTGTTTGTGTTTAGTAACCAGAAAACTTCTTATATGTGTTACATGATTAGTTTTATTAACTTTAACGATTATAACTTTATTGAAAACGCAATTGTTTTTGTAAGTCTTTGTTTAAATCATAAAAATTGCTTTAAAAGATACATTACGATAAAAAACAGATCAACAAAATTACATTTACATAAAGAATACATACTTTTTAAATAAAAAATAAGAATGTACAAATAAAATCTATAATTTATAATAAACTTTTAAAATTTTGACAATTTAATTAATATATATTTAAAACATTAATTTTTGTAAACAATTTAAATATTCTTTAAACAATTTATGCTAGAAATCTGAAAACGTAACAAAACGTGAATAAAATAATTTCTAAAACATTTCAACAAAATGCTCCAAAATTTTATTTCGCTTAGTCAGCGTATTTTTTGAACCAATAGAATTAGTTTGTTCGTTAATTTGGGGGGTTTTTAGTGTTTGCAAATATTCTTTTTATTCTTTCGCACCAAGATGTTTTGATAACATTCAAGTTTTTATGTTTCCATGTATGTCCGTAAAACAAAAATTTTTTGTTTCGTAAATAAACTTAAATGTTCTCAAAACGACTAAAAAACCTGGCCAGTTTTTCGCAACTAAATATAATTTCCGTGGTCAGTATTCGAGAGCGATCGCTCCCGCTTCCCGACCAAGCCTGTATATATATATATATATATATAAAATTATTTTTCTATTTTTATTTATTTATTGTCTACCGTGTTTGGCCCATATATATATATATATATATATATATATATATATATATATATATATATATATATATATATCAGGCCTTGTTATGAGATTTCGCTGCGTAACCGAAAAGCGAAATGTGAATAAATGTAACTTTACTTAATAAAGATATTTACATTGTTAAATGTTAAATTACGTCAGTTGCGTTTTTACTTCATTGTAATTAAATTTAAAATGACATTAAAAACTATTGTTAGTATTTGAAGCGAAATAGCTTTAAGTTGAACAATGTTGTTATAAAAAAAAAAAAATTTTAATGTTGATTAAAAAAATGTGTTCTTGTATTAAAATCTTATACTTATTTAAACTTAATTTTTTTGCTTTTAAACATTCGTTTTATGGTTGTTTTTTTTTTAAATATTTTTTTTTTAAATAATTTAAATTTAACACTTGTTTATGGTTGATTTTCTTAAAGGGATTTAAATGTACTTATAACTAAATGCATAGATTGGATTTTCCCCTTTTAAAAAAAACGTTTGCACTAACTGGTTTTGATAAAATAAAAGTTGTAAAGAAACGAAATTTACTGCTTTTTCGGCTTTGTTTTTTTTTTATTTCCATTAAAATATTTTATTTTTATGTACAGGGAAACCTAATTTTTTTTTACTCAATCCAAAAAAAAAATAGTGTTTTCGGTTTTAAGATGTAATAAGCAGAATTCGTTTTTAACAAATATCATTATAATTTTGAAATTTATGTACCTTATATTTATAGCTCTAGTACTAGTTTTATTTTTAAAATAAAATAAAGATAAGTTGGGCTTTTAAAGAGTTTATTTACTGATTGCGTTTTTTTTAATAGGTTTGAATTTTGGTTTGTTTTATAAAAAAAATTTTTTGGCAATTGGCAAAGGGAAAACCCAAACATAACATTTATAACTCGAGTTTAAAAGTATTGACGTCATTTATTAACTTGTAGTTATAAAATGAATAATGCGCTTCTGTAAATAATGAATGAAACTGTAAAATAATGGAAAAATAAAAACTGGAAAATAATGCGCATTATTCAGACCAGTATTTGGAACTTACCTCAAAATTAACTAAAATTAAAATAAAATTATATGTAAACGAACATTTTAAAGTAACTTGAATTAAATTTGTTAAATCTTTTTTTACTTTGGAAATTTTATCATTAAAAAAACGGAGCATTTTAAAATTAAAAAATTTTAAAATGCTCTGTTTTAAAATTAAATGAAAGAATTTTAATTAAATTTAATAAATTTATTTACTAAAAACTATAATTAATAAAAAAATATTTAAACTTAATAAAATAAATTGAAAATATTTCTTTTTTTAAATTTGATTGTTTTTAAACTTATGGAATATAAAACTTAATATTAAATATGATAAAATTTTTAAACTTAAAACACTTTTTTTTTTAAACTAATTTTTAACAACAACAACAATAAAAATAATCAAACAAATTTTTTTTTAACAAAAAATCTATTAGTTTACAATTGCGGTTAAATGCTTTTACTTACGACTTTATTTTCTTCTGAATAAACGTCACATAAATGATATCAAATGATAATTTAAATATTCTAAAAGATTAAAGTTTCTGCGTAACGCAAAACTGCTGAACGCTTAGGCAAATCGCCTTTTCGCAGGTAAAATGCGAGCTGCGTAACGATTCTTAACAAGGCCTGATATATATATATATATTTATATATATATATATATATATATATATATATATATATATATATATATATATATATAATATGAATACGCTAATTTAATATTATTATTATTAGTCGAGTTACGTCATTTTTTAGGCTTTTCTATTTTAAAGTAGTTTCTAGGCTTTTCTATACGCGTTTTTTTTTTAAATTTTATTTACTAACAACGCAGGTTGCTTACTGCTAATATATATATATATATATATATATATATATATATATATATATATATATATATATATATATGTATATATATATATATATATACACATATGTATATATATATATATATATATATATATATATATATATATATATATATATATATATATATATATATATTACTTTTAAAAATAATACAAATTTTTTAACTTCATTTAAAATCATTTTATTTATCAAGACATGTTTCGACTATATATAGTCATCATCAGTTAAAATATATTTGTTAAAAACGATATAAAATATAGTATATAATTGTAAAAATAAACATAATAAAAGCCATAAAATTGTAAACAAACTTCCTATATTTACAAAAAGATTTATTAAAAATTATTTTAACAAATGTCAATTATAACAAAAGAAACCGGTAAATCATATTAAATTATAAGAATCATTTTAACATGGTGTACTTGTTTATTCATATCGGGTTTTTCCCATCCTATATGAATGCTTTCTTTAATTTTTAATTCAATTTTGTTTTTAGCACGATCCAAAATTGAAAAGCATTCATCATTATAATTTTTAAAACAGTTTTCTTTTGAGTGAAGATACTTATAAATAAGAGAGTTTTTATCCCTTCTGTAGTGTTCAATCACTCGCGTCTTAAGGTGGCGAGAGGTTTCGCCAATATAACAGGATTTACATCCTGCACAAACAAATTTGTAGACAACGAATGATTTAAAATTTACAGGATAGTGATCTTCAGATTACACCTTTCTGTAGATTTTAAATCATTCCTCGCTTCCAACAAGGTTGCAAGCAACCACTAATTAGTGTTAGAAGTTACTGGAAGAGAAAAGATGAAGATTGTAGAGCAAGATAACGATTGACAGGCGACTTAAAAGATTGCAAATTATATGAATCAGGAAATCAAGATGAAGGAAGCGAATTCCAAAGAACTGATGTTCGAGGAAAAAAACTAGACAAATTAGAGTTTTTGAAGCACTTGGGAATAGTAACAGAAAAAGGATGAGACTTAATTGAATGACGAGTAACACAAGAATGAATTTTTGTAGATGACACAAGAGATGCTAGCTCTTTAGAGCAGTGCCCATTATAGTATTTGTAGAAAAGAGAAAGAGAAGTAATATTACGACAATGTGATAATGGTTGAAGGTTGGCTGCAAGAACAGGTCCAACTATGTTTAGAATGCATTTTTGCACCTTGTCTAAAAGAGAAAGGGCATCATTAGAAGATCCTCCCCAGACAGGGCAACAGTATTCCATACAAGGCTGGATTTGAGATTTATAGAGATAGAGAATAGAATCCAGAGTAAAAAAATGTCGAGCTCGATAAAGAGATGCAACTTTAGCAGATGCAACGGATTCGATATAAGGTTTCCAAGAAAGATCAGAAGTAAGATTTAATCTTAGAAGATGAAGGGTAGATGACTCATCGAGTACATTACTGTTCATCGAGTACATTACATTAATATAGGAAGGTCTAAATTATTGCGATAATGATTGGCTGAAAAAAATTGAATTTTATCTGAAGTATATATACATATATCAGTGCTTGAAATAGTTTTTCAAAGCTTGCCGATCAAATGTGATTTTTTCACAAAAACAGGTTATATTCCCATGAATTTTTTGAAATTTCCCTAAAAATAGCCGATCATTGATCATTGATCTGTGGTTATTTGGAGCGCTGATATATATATATATATATATATATATATATATATATATATATATATATATATATATATATATCGTCGGGGATAGTGCAAATCCGTGTAAAAAGCATTGGCTACTCTATTTGGATATTATTAATTATTTTAACACTAAATATTTGTTGTTGAGAAAAAACATGAATAATACTCTTTTTACTAAAATGAACCCAAAATCAGTTAAAATAAAAAATAAATAAGGATTTAAACCTCTCCAGTAAAAAAAATGTTCTGTAGATACGCGGTATTATAAAATGCTAGTTACGCGGTTTTGCACTATCCCCGATATATTATGTATATATATAAAATTATTTTTCTATTTTTATTTATTTTTAAGTTTTTTTATGTTTTACTATTTAATCATTATTCATTATTAGTTTTAGTTGCTTTAGAGAAATCCTAAGTAAATTACCGATTTGCTTAAAATAATAGTTTATTTATAAATTTGTGAAACTCCTTTTGTAGTGGTTGAGGCAACTTATCTAGAAGAAAGAAATCTTTGATATAAAATCCCTAGCTTAATTGTATCTAAATTTAGGAGGGTGTTGTAAGCCTTGCAATCTTCCTAGTGGTAGTAACATATTAAAAATACTTCTGATCTGCTGAACAGGTTAATGTCAGGAAAGGCATACCATTCTAATTGCTTCAAATTATTCAAGATTTTTTTAATCCTAATTTAAATTTTTCTAGTGATATTAGTGCAACAAGCTGTCCTATTCATAAACAAATGGTTGAGCTAAAAGCTATTTCAGTTAGGGATGATGGAATGAGGTATATTAATTTTTCTTTATTTATTTTTACTCATTTTTAATCATTTATTTTTTAATTGATTTTTTGACGAGATTAAATAAAAAATAACTACATAATTTTTACTTCTAAAAGTTTCATGCGTTTAGCAATCATCAGGTAAAAATACATTGTTTTTTTTTAAAAAAAATATACTCTTAATAAACGTCGTGACGTTCAAAAACAATTATAAAATGTTACTATTTGCAAGAGTGGTTTGATTTTTAAAACTTTGGGCTCGTGGTTGTCAAGCAAGAACTTTTTATTTATACAATTGCAGGGTGGGTATTCTTTCTGTCTTTTTGAACTGATTTTCTTCTTGTGGCTCTTTATAATTCTTTCGATATTTTTGGTGCAGCTGTAACTCACTTTGATGGTGTTTCGATTGAATAGTTTACTTAGGGGGTGGGATGTTGGAAAATGTTTGTAGATTAAGTTTTGGAAGATATGTCTGACATTGGTAGAAATATTTTTAATATACGGGGGGTTGAACCATATTATATATTTTTTTCTTTTTTTTTCTCTCTTTTTTTGGGGATTATACTTTAAATTAAAACCAGTGAAGCCATTTCTTCTTAATTCATCTTAAAGTATATAAAAAAATCATAAAGTATATAAAAAAACACAAATAATATCTAGTCCAAAGATTAAAAAACCAAACCACGCTTGCAAATAGTAACATTTTATAATTGTTTTTGAACGTCACATCGTTTATTTAGAGTATATTTTTTAACGAAAAAAACAATGTATTTTTACCCAATGATTGCTAAACATATGAAACTTTTAGTAGTAAAAATTATTTAGTTGTTTTTTATTTAATCTTGTTAAAAAATCAATTATATAGCTCTGATATCATTAATCGAGCACTCTTGCTGAATATATGCTCATAGCAAAATTAAACAAAAACAAAACTGATAAAATCTAGCTATCAATCTAAAATCTATAAAACTGATAATTTATCTGTATAAAATTCAACTATAAATCAATAAATTTTTATTAAAAGTATTTAAAATCAAAATACTTAAAAGTTAAAATAAATAAATAAATTGATATTAACAAACAAAAGATTATGTTAAGTATGAGATTGTTTAAAAAAATAAATTATAAGAAGAAATGATATTTTTCAAAAATCTAATATAGATTCTATCAATAATTTTTGTTAAATTAGTTTAAACGATTTTTAGCGCAGTATTAAATTTAATTACAAGACGATACTTAAAAATACTTTCAAAATATCAATAGTTTTTAAGCTCCTGTAACAAATAAGATATTAATAAATGCAACACATTAAAAGCAAAGGGTTTTGTATTTGAAAATTGTTTTTTTATATTTGTTATAATTTGTTGTAAAAAAGAGCACTTTTTTTTTTTGATAAAATAGCGCTTAAATTAAATAAAAAACTTAATGGCGTATACATCGGCTTGTGCTTTATCTGAAAGTAGAAATGTGAATGTTATTAATATTTATATATATATATATATATATATATATATATATATATATATATATATATATATATATAGATACATACATACATACATACAATACATGCATGCATACATACATATATATATATATATATATATATATATATATATATATATATATATATATATATATATATATATATATATATATATATTATTTTTAGATGCTATTATCGATGTGTGTTTGGAAAGGATGCTGGGAAGAACTGGTGTGGACATGCTCTACTTCAAGTATTTATATTTGTGTAAATTATTGCCAACCAGTTAAGAGTATGTATTAGGGTCCATCAAATGCCCATTGCATTGCATTTTTCAAAAAAGTTTCATCCCTCTTCTTAAAACTTTTAGTTCTTTCTCACTAACAAATTTTTCTAAAACTAAAATAGATTTAGAGGGCCTCATAGAGAAGAAAGATGATAAAATTTTTAAAAAAGCATTAAGTCTGATTCTTTTTTACAAGTCCCTAAGTGCTTAATCTTATGTCTTAAAACTAATAAAATTTTATATAAAAATTTCAATAATAATAATTTTTTTTTTTTACTTTATCTATGTTTCCACTAATATACTAAAATGATATTAAATGAAATTTTTTTAAGAGGGTATGATAATATAATAATATTTAAAATCATTTAATGTTGTCCATTAAAAAATGCTGAGAATTTAAAATTCTGTCTATGATTTTTTCTTATATTGTTTCAATTTTCAAATTAATTTGATGCTAAAATGTGTTTAGTTACTAAAAACAGCTGACTCAAAAATTTAAGTCATTTAAAAAAGTTAATCTCATGATGTTTTCTGAAGAAGTTTGAATTTTTTTTCTCCAGAAATTCCATGTCTTTATTTTTTTCTTTTTGCAATTCAAAATAAAGCAAAAGCTAAGTATTAACACAATACTAAATCAAATTAATGGTAACAAAAACTTTTTCTACATTTAAAATAGGTCACCATGACCTTTTTTTGTAGAAAACAATTTAGAAAACAAGGACATGGGAAGGTGAGGAATTTTAGATGTCTTGAACAAAACTTACCTAGAAGAAAAACTTAGGTATAAAATCCCCAGTTTAATTGTGGGTGCTAATAAACCTTGGAAGATAATCTTCCTTGTGGTGCTAATAAAAACACTTAGTCCTGATCTGCAAAACAGATTAATGCTAAAAAGTGAATCCTGTAGTAAAAATAATAATTTAACTCTTTCATAGTGTCATGTTTAAATAACAAATAGTAATATGGCAATGCATCTAACACACAGATGTGGAGCTATGGTTGTTAAACCATGATTAATCTGTTGCTTTTGCCTCTACCTAACTACTTTTTTTATTGAGGTTTAGTCATCATTAAGAAAATCTTTTTTATTCCTAATAACTCATTAACAAAGGGGGCATTTTAACAATTTTGAATTTCATATTGTGCACCTCATCTTTGGAATAAAATAGTATTACCAAATTTTGATCCTTCTATTAATCTTCCTGTTTTTAAAATTAAAAAAGTTAATTCTCTCTATGGATAACATTCTAAAATTCTACTAAAAATGTTTATGGCAATAAAATTTGTTATTAATTATTAATTACAAATTATTTACCCAATTAATAAATCCTAAACTCTGTAATAACCAGCAACAAAATATTTTAACAGTTGAATTTTGTTATTAAACCTTCTCCATTGGTAGAGTTCATTCAAAAAAAAAAAAAAAAAAATTGCAACAAAATTTACTGAAAGTTGCTAAAAAAGGTAAAATAGTTGCTGAGCTTCAGCACCTGTTGTTTCAATCAAGGTTTTTTTTTCTCATGACGCAGTTAGATTTAATCTTGGTTATTGGTTAGTGCAGTTTAATTCATAGACATCTTTGTCAAGAAGTAGTGTAATATAAAAAGAATGATTTAAATCTATATACATAAATATAAGTACAAATAGCAAATTTTTTTCAAATATGTCTTATTTTAATCTGTTTATTTATCATTATCTTAGAATAATCTCCAAAAAGTTAACTTTAAAAAATGTTAATTTTTCTCTATTATCATTATGTAGTGAGATTGTAAAAGGTTTTTGATAGTTTGTTAATCATTTGTTTTTTGTCAAAAGCAGTTGATTTACATTAGTTATTGAACATTTGGCAACAGCTGTACCATTATGACTGAACCATTATGTACCATTACAGCTGTATCATTATGAGCAATTTAGGAACAGTGCTAACAATTTTAAAACTTAAAAGGCATTTTCATTAAAATTTTGAAAATTTGATTTGTCTGCTCTTACTTTGTCATTTGTCAGAATAAATTTATAATGGTATTTATTTTGCATAAATATATTATAAACAATTTTTAAATGTTGTTTGTTACAAGTTGTTTTTTCTTCCAGATTTATTTATAAAACTTAATTTTTCTCTCCATAATAATTTTAAATACCTTTGTTATTTTTTAATAATTTTAAATACCTTTGTTATTTCAGGTATTTGTTTAGTTAGTTTCATAAAAAATTTGTCTAATACAATTTTATTTTATTTTATCAAATTCTATATAAATATCAAATTGATTTTTTTTAATTGACAACATTGGTTTTAAAAAACCTGATAATGTAGTTAGGTAGGTTTCGTAGGGACTGATCAAATAATGAAACATCTCTGGGGTCTGCTAATTTATCAATATATAATATTTAAAATATCTAATTTAAAATAATATAACACATAATAATACATAGCTAATATAATATTTTAAGATGTATAATAATAATTTAAATTATTTTATAGAGCAAACCTGTTTGTAATCGTTTAAGGGAGGTTACTAATGTTCAAGCAAATATTGATATATCTTCATCGTTTAAGCAACCTAAAAGTATTGAAGTTTCTAAAGAAAAAATTAAGGAGAGGTTGCAATGTAGTATAACAGACAATACAAAAGAATTTACACATAAAACTGATCATGCTAACCCAAATCACAAAAAAGAATCTCTTACCAATATATATGAAAAGCCAATTAATAAACAAAATCAATTTAATATACCTCCAACATCCGAACTATCTTCAGGTTTAGATAAATTAATATCTACTGACTCTAATGTTAACTTTTTACAAGATTCTTTTTTCACTTCTCGTACAGCCTGTGTTAGTGACATTTCTGATGCCAGTTCCCTTGATTCTACTCGTTCATCAATTAATATTAGCAATAATAGTTTTCAAGAATCTAGTAGAAAAGATACTTGTAGCTATGACAGTGTTTGCCAATCATCAAACGATTTAGTGAAGGCTGCAGATCAACATAATAACAACAAAAATATTGATGCCATTGAACATGTCAGCATATCTGACAAAAACAAACAAACATTGAATCATATAACAGCAAGAAAATCACCTATAACAGTTATAGATTTAAGCGATTCAGAAGAAGAAATTGAAGAAACTGTATCTAAGGAAAGACCAATATCGAAAGCATCTTTAGCAGAGTTGCAATCAAATATACAAAAACAAACAGTTTGCTTTTTAAATTTTATTTTGATACTTTTATATATATATATATTTAAATTTAGATTCATTAAAATTTAATAAAATTGTTTTATTCTATAAAAGTTATTTTTTCTTAGATCTTGTTACATAGAATTGGCCCAGTTTCTGTTGATGGTGGACGAAAAATTCGAGAAAATATTGATAAGTTGTCAATGGAATTTCAAGAATTGTTAAAAAAGAGTAAAATTTTATAAATATAAAAACACGCAGGAAAAAATGTCAGAATTACATCTTTTTATTTTTGAGTTATTCAAATTTGAAAGTTTAAAGCCATGATAAAATTTTTTTTTTCTTTTTTGATTATGTTATCTGATTGAGTATCTAAAAAATTAGTGGTGTTAAGGTTAGCTCTAATACACAAATCTCTATGATTTAGTTACTCCAGGTAATTTGCTTAACAACGTGACTTCTTTTAAAAGCCTCTTTGGTACAGGACATTTTAAAAATATTATAATAGTTGTATTAATAAATAAATCATACATAAGGTTTTTTAATCATATGATTTAGCTCAGTGGCATTTATAGGATTTAGATTTTTTTCAGCACTGAAATTTTTATACCATTTTAAATGTGTAATAGCATGTTTCTTGCAATTAGTTAGGAAAAAACAGTTTTTGTCCCACACATGAATTAAAAAATGATTCCCTAAATATCTAAATAAAAACTCTAAAACCAAGATATCTATACTTGAATGATCTAAACTGTGATATCTCTACTTGAATGATTCATTTTAAAATAAAAAAGCATAGATGTCATCTGCACCTTTTCTAGCTCTAGTTTTATATTATGCATTTCTTTTCTAGCTATAGATTTATAGTATGCATAGATAAAAACTTTGTTTGAGAGCAAGTGAATATTAAAAAACAAAACAAAACAAAATTATGTAATAAAATTTGTAGATATTAAGAGAGCCTGATTAAGATGTCAGAATTGTTGGAACGTTATTATACATTTTTTTAAATTCTTATCTTTATTTCATCACATTTTGAGCAGGTATCTTTATGTATTCAAATGAAATATCAAAATTATTGTTAAATATATACTAAAGTACTAAGGTCTAGGCTAACTAAAGTACTAAAGTACTAAGGTCTAGGCTACTTTATATTTTAACATTGTTATAATCTTTTTTTAAACGATCTTAAGTTTTTTCTGTATTTCAAAAACATTGTAGTTATTATTTGCCTATAACTTTTTAAGTTTTTTTTCTGTATTCCAAAAACACATTGATGTCATACTGTGCCTTTAATTTGGAATTTAAAGACATTGCGGTGCCTATCCATTTTGATTACTTTTTACATTTTCTACTTTTTCTAAATGATAAAGTAATGCTGTTGTTGTTAGTTTTTCCTTAAAATTTGAAGAACGATATTTACACTTAACAATATTTACACTTAATAGTATTTTCATTTGTTAAATTTAATACATGTTTCCAAATTTTAGATGGTTTTTTCTTTGAAGGTTCCACCCAGTCACTTTCATTTTTTTATTTTTAAATATTACTAGAAATATATATAAAACAAAGCTAGATAAATAAAAATAATATAAAAGTCAAAACTACTAGAAATAAATCAAAAACAAAAAAACAAAATAGTTTTTTTGAGACACCCTGCAACGTATTCAGCAAAATTTATTGAAGTTGGAATATATTAACATATAAGCTGAAAAAGCATCAAAATGTAAACTAAAAAATCAATATTATTTTACTTTTAAGGTTGTGTACAAAATTGAAGATTGGACTGTTTTTACACCAGTTTTTTTTAAATACTACTTTTCTGTTTATTTAATTTGACAAAAAAAAAAGTGATTTTACTTAAGTAATATAAATTTACTTATGGTACATTACTTTTGGTACTTGAGTTGTATAAACAATTACTTATGTACTTACATTACTTGAAACAGCCCAACACTGTTATGAGTCTAGCTAGAAAAGTTGAAAATCTTTGCCAAATATTACAATAAACTTAACAAATAAACATGCTTTATCATTTTTTCTTACATTTTCAAAACATTTATGTCTTGTACATTTTCACTCTGGTCCTGTTGTGTGATTTAAAAGTTTTTGTTTTTTTTTAGTTTTTCTTTCAAGCTTTTAACTGTTATTCTATTTTTTATCTTTGTATTACAAATGCATTTACATGTATCTGCCATTTTTAATATTATTTTTATCAGTATCCTATTTCATTGGATTCTGGAATTACATAGTGCTTAATAATGCATGGCATTAGTGGCTTTATTTTTATTTTTAATTCAAAGATTGAGCTATTCCTTTTTTTCCATTAGACAGGATTTTTTTTTCTTTGATGTATTTTTTTTTTTTTTTTCCACTTAAAAATTAGTTTAGTATATATACTGTGTGACTAAATAAATAACAGAAGTATTAACTTAAAATTAAAAAATGTGCCATTTTTTCCTGTATGGTCTTCGTGTATATATATATATATATACATACATATATATATATGCGTACATATATATACATGCATATATATACATACATATATATATACATATATATATAAATACATATATAGATGCATACATACATACATATATATATATATATATATATATATATATATATATATATATATATATATATATATATATATATATATTATATATATATGTACATACATATATATATATATATACATATATATACATGCATATATATACATACATATATATATACATATATATATAGATGCATACATATATATATATATATATATATATATATATATATATATATATATATATATATATATATATATATATGTATATATATATATATATATACACACATGCAAATATATATACATACATACATATGTATGTATGTATATGTGTATATATATATATATATATATATATATATATATATATATATATATATACATATACATATATAATTAGTAAAAACTTCTACAGTCTGTTTCACCTTCAGCAGGTTTCTCAGGAAGAATATCTAAATATCAAAAGTTTTAAATGATAGAAAAAATATATCATAGAAACTTGGGAATCGTTATAATTAGGTTAATAAAAACTGTAGTAACAAATGGTGAATAGAAAAAACATGATGCCAACCACAAACAATCTTTTAAACATAAAAAATACTAAAAAAAGACTATGCTGTTAAAATATATTGAGCAATTAAATATTAACTTTAACTTCAACTGGTCTGTTCTAAATACTGCACTTGCCTATATTTGAAATTATTACCCATTTGGATCAAGAAAATTTACTAAACAAAAAATCAGAAATAATTTCTAAATGCAGACATGAACATAAATTCTTTTAAAATAATTATGACTAAACTAAAATTATCCATATTCTAAAGAATTCTTTTTCACAATTAATATTTAGAAAATATTTTAAGTAATAATTTTGAAAAATAAGTAGCTAATGTGACTTCCTGGTTGCAACATAACTACAGTTTTTATAAAATCTAATTATAACAAATCCCAATTTTTTGAAATATTTTTTTCTTTAATTTGAGTTTTTTGATGTTTAGACTTCTTTCTTACCTATTCTATACTTATTCATATCTAGAATATGTTATCTTCCTGAGAAAATATTTTAGTTTTAAATTTTAGATTCGTTAAATGAAAAATCAGGCGATCAGAAAACAACAGAATTATCTGAACAATCTAAGATGTCATTAAAGCAGTCATCAACAATTAATTTGGAGTATAATTATCCACAATCATTATTACAAGATTTTCATTACAAACGTGGAGCACCTTTATTTAATGGTCCAATGACTCAAACAAAGTTGAAAGATGTAGGAAGGGTTACAAAAGAGGCAGTTGAACAACTTCATAAGTAATTTTTTTTAACATATTTTTTATAAGTTGAATATATTTTCATGTTTATCTATATAATGCAAAAATTATAAAAAAAATATTGTTTAAAATAAATTTATTTATTTATTTTAAACGATATGTTTTTTTATAATTTAATTACGGCACATGTTTTATATAAATTAATCATAGCCTAACCTTTTACAAAAAATTTCTTTGATTTTTATCAATATTTTGAATCAAAGTTAAAATCACTTCAAATTTTCGACTTTTAACACAATAATTTTTAAGCCATTAATAATAATTAAAAAAAAAAAAGTTTATGCATTCATTAAATTGTGATGTTGAAAATGTATGTAAGTTTTAGTTTGGTTGTGAAAGTTAATAATGCAAATTTAATTGATTAAGAATGGTAGAATCATTGTTTAATTTTCTCTCTAGCAAGTTTAAATGAAACATTTGTTGTTACTTGAACTTAAGGAGTTAAAAATTTATTGAAACTATAAAAGCTAGCTTAATCCTTCCAGAAAAATGACATTTAAGAAGTTCTCTTTAATATATTCGTAAATTCAAAAATCATCTAGGTTGTTTCTTTATTATATTATATTTATTGTACACTATTTGTATTTATTTGTATTAATTTGTTTGTTTTATAAAGTGAATAAATATGAAAATATACAGGTCACTTGATTCATGCCCAGCTCCCAATGAAGAAGCAGATGAACCAAAAGGTTTAAATGTATCTTTAATGACACATCAAAAGCAAGCACTAGCTTGGTTAATATGGAGAGAAAGACAAATTCCATCTGGGGGAATTTTAGGTTTTTTTGTTTGTTTGAGTTTTTTTTTCTATTAATCTTACTTTTTAGTTTTTATTCTATTATTATATTTCATATGATATTATTATGTTTTATTTTTTAGCTGATGACATGGGCTTAGGAAAAACTTTAACCATTATCTCATTGGCTCTTAAAAGTAAACAAGAAAGTCTATCACAAATAAAAGGTTTTTATACATTAACTATTATATCATTGGCTCATAAAATACTATTATGTCATTGGCTCATAAAAGTAAACAAGAAAATATTTTATTTATACATAATTGTAGTTTTTTTGAATTTATGCTCAATTTAAGTAACATCTATGAAAAATGGAATATATAAAAAAAAGTTCATAATTTTTACATAGGAATCTAAATTACTTTTTTAGATTTATGAGTTTCGAGGTATTTATTTGTAATTTTAACTAATTCACATAGGTATCTTAATTTGAAATGATTGTTGAATTGAAGGTAAATGTCTCGCAAAAAAAGTTTTAAATGTATGAACACGTAAAAGTATTAAAAAAAAATATTGATACAATCATTTGAAACTTTTATCATCAACTTAAAGATTATATTAAAAAATTATTCTCAATTCTGTAAATAACTTTTTCTTTATGAAGAAGTTCCTTTAATTTAATTAAAACAAAGAAGTTTTTTCAATTTCAAATTGAAAAAAACTTCTTTGTTTTAATTAAATTAAAAAAACTTTTTCAATTTAATTAAAGAAAAAATTATATACTTATGTACAGGGCCGTAGAGAGCCAAGCCAGGCCCCGGGGTAAATTTTTTGGCGGGTCCCCTTTATTTTACATTAATATTCATATCCATATTGAAAACATCAAACTTAAAGTCTATGACGTGTCTTTAGTCTAACTTAAATCAAAATCAATCTTAAAGTCTAGGACTAGATGTCTTTAATACTAGGTGTCTTTAATTAGTTAGGTTGGTCAACGAATCCTTTCATTTTTTTAACAAGTTGCATTTGTTAGAATTTTTTTTTTTTTTACATTATTCACCTTACCAAGGCCGAGGGGTCACTATAGTCGAGGAGGCTACTCATTTTTTTGTGTTTTTATTTTTTGTTGTTAATTGTGGTACAACCCTCTCTCAACTCTTTAACTCAGAAACACGAACTTTGGCAAGCATGGCCGCTGCACAGAGTAACTAAGTTTATTTAGCAAAAAATTTTGTAATAAAAAGCTTTTTAATAAAGTAACCTTTTCTTTAATATTTTTACTATAAGTAATTAACTTGATATAATATAAAAAAGAAGAGAATGTAAATTAAAACAAAAAGTATTAATAAAGACTCTAATTTATCTAAGAGAGTTTTACAGACAAACAAGTATATTCTTTGGTTTTCTTTTAAAAAAAAGAATATTTTGAATTCTAAGTGTTCAAAATAAATAATTGTATTTAATTGTACTGTAATTAAACAAAATAAGCTTTGCGAGATTTTTTGCTTGCAAAAAGTTCGATAACTGCATCAAAGTCAAGTTTCCTTGCAAGTGGCGCCTCAATTGCTAGTCTTCCCAAATTAGAAAGTCGATCTTGACACATCGTAGAACGTAAAACATTTTTAACTCTTGCAAGAGTGCTGAAAAAGCGTTCTGCTTGTGCAATGGTAACTGGAAGTGTACAAAAAATTCTAAGAACAACTAAAATGTTTGGGAAAAGAGAAACAATCTTCAACTCATGGAGTTTGTTTAATAATAACGATAACTGTAATGCCAAGATTTGATGCGTGAATTGCCTTTAAATGTTCTAACTCGTCTATTAAATCGAAAGAAACATCAATGCTGTATTTAACGCAAATAGATGAAGCTTTCTCATGCAGCAGATCTTTATCTAATGTAATGTATTTCCATACAACACCAAATGTTTCCTCAAGATCTTTGGCTGCCTCAAAATGCCGATTCATATTACCATTGACACAGTCTAAAAGAACATAAAAAACATTGTGCTTGAAACAAAATTCTGCACTGGTGTTGCCTAATTTATTATTCTGTTCCTCATCTGAAAATCTAGCTTTTCGGCTGCGTTTTTCTCCGGGAATATGTCATTGGAAACCATACCCAGATTTTCGGCAACAAGTTTACATTCATTTAAAGTTGAATCCCAGTTGTTTCTCAATACTAAGAGGTCATCAATTAGGCTTTTTAAATTTAAAACCTCCACATCTAAAGTTGCATCTCTGGCTTGCTGAACTGTGTTTCTGTAATTGATGCTTGTTAGAACTTTAAACCAAGTGCTTGCGAGTATAATGCACTCAAATGAACCCAAGTATTTCTCAATATGTTTGATATCTGATCGAGTCTCGGCAGTAAGATTTAGCTTCTTTAAGTGTTGGGTAGCCCTCTTTAAACCAGGAATATGTTCTGCAAAAGGTTTTACACTTTCCATCCTGGCTGACCAACGTGTATCTGACATACTATGCAAAGAGCATCCAATGTTTTCTTATAAAATTTGCCATCTTTGCGGGCTAGAGCTGAACAAGTTATTTTTAAGTCTTTTGCACAACACCGAAGAAGTTTATAACCTTTGCACAGCACTCTGCAGCATGGACACCACACAGATTTAAGCTATGACAAGCACATGGAGAATAAATTGCCAATTGGTTCTTTTTAATTATCTCGTCTTGTGCTCCTTTATATTGACAGCTCATGTTGTTACCGTTGTCATAACCTTGACCACGACAGTCTATCATTGGTATATTGTATTTTTTAATAACACTGCAAATTAATTTCCCCGTTTTCTGATTGCAGTCTACAAACTCTAGAAATCGCTATTGAACTTCGTAGAGACTATTTTCTTCATTTAAATAAACATAACGCAATAAAAATACAGTTTGTTCCATATGTGCTGAATCAGGGGTTGCATCAACAAGTATTGAGTAATATTTTGCTGCTTCTTGTTCACTTAGAATAATGTCTAATACTTTTTTAGCACAACACTCTATAAACTTATTTTGTATTTCCAGTGAAAGGTAATTTGCTTGTTGTCTTCTCTTCAATTTCTGTGACTTCATCACTTTGTTCAGATGGTCTTTTAAGACAGAATCATAATGGCTCAAGAGCTCTAAAATGCCCAAAAAATTGCCATTTGCTGCAACTCCAACTAAATCACTTGTTCCTCTAAATCCCAAACTTCGTTCGGCTAGAAACAATGTGACATCTAAAATTCTGCAAAGAACCTGTTTCCACTGTGATGCTTGATTCTTAATGGTCTGCAGCAGCATAATATCGACAGTGGAATTAGAGTCAATACTTTTTTTAACACGAGCGACTTGCTGTTGGTAGTTTGCTAAAAAGGCGACAAGGAAAACAAAATATTGATTGTTTAACTTTGCTCCAAACAAGCCAATCACGGGGAACATATTCTCCATTTTTCATACTTGTATGTAGTATACAAACAGGAAATGAATGTCCGTTCACATCTTTTGGAAATTGAGATGGGATCTTTTCTGGACCCCTACGAACTGCTTCCTCAATTTCAGAAGCATTTGGTCTTTCATTTTTTAGACTACCAACATCAAAGTCAAGTTTTGTTTAGTAATTTTATTATCAGTTATATTTGATTTATAATTCTCAGAGATATTGTTGATAGGAACTAAAAGATTGCCGGGCTCCACGTCATCTTTATTTTCTATGTTATCAGGATCTGGAAAATTGGCAGTCACATTAATTAAATCTGCAGCTTGTTCAACAATGTTGTCGTTATTGTTAAAATTAGCTTCTACAATATGATATTTTCTAAATCTTTCTCTTTTGAAGACACTGAAAATCCATAACTTTGAAGTAGAGTTTGTTTTTCATTAACATTTCTCAATCTCGACAATTTTTCTTTCCTTTTTTGAGATCCAGATTTGTGATGGTAGTTCTTTTTTTTTTTTTGACTACTAAATAAGATTTTATATAAATTGGCATTAATTATCATTCCGGTAAATAAAACATTCTCTTTATGATATAATATACCATATTAAAGATATGTCATTGATATATCGGTGGTATGTATTATAAAGCAATATGTGCAACAAACACTCCTAAACATTAGCGTAGTGAAGGCAGACCAAAGCGGAAATGACCCCTGTCATGAAGGCTTTAAGAGGCCCAAAAAATTGAGGAGCAAAAAAAATAATGAAACTTATTTTAACATAAAAAGTAATAATTTCTTAATTTTATTGTAAAAAAGTGCATATATTTCATTTTTGCCCCGGTCGCAAAAATATTCGCTATGTCACTGATCTTAAGTGTCATATAATTTATTAAATAAAGCAATTTTTATAATTGAATGTTTTATACCTTATAACAAAACTCCATATACAACTGATTAAACTTTAACATAAAAATAAACTAAACTGTAGAATCAAATAGACAATTTTCTGGCATTCTTTGTCTTTTATTTTAAAATACCGCAAGTGATTTAATGTTCTGCAAATGATCTAAAGTACTCGAATTATACAAACTATAAATGCTTCCAAATAATGTGTTCAATGTATATTTTTTACTACATAATTTTTTTCTTGAGATATTTTCCTTTTGATTTATTTCCAAATAACTTAGCTTATAAAATTTATAAAATATTTATTATGTTTTGCATTTAAATTTAATGTTTACGGTGATACTAATGTTAAAAACTGTAATTAGAACATCCAATCCAAATGCAGTATATTTAAAAAAACAAATATAATACTTTATAATTCACAATATAACGACAATATACCCCCTGACCCCCTCTCTACGGCCATGCTTATGTAATATATATTTATATTATTTAAAAATTCAAAAACAATAATTTTTTTTTTATTTAAAGCATTTTTTTACTTATTCAAAGCAATTTTTAATGTAACATTAATTGCATTTTTATTTAAAATATTTATAATTTATGTAAAATGTTTGTAAATTGTTATGTTACTGTTTTAAGAAAGTTTTTGACTTTTTATTTTGTTCTCTAAAAATTCTTTTAGAACCTGTTATTAATTCACAACTAGTTTTTTCAAAAGCAACACTTATTATATGTCCTGCTTCTCTTGTTCACCAATGGCATAAAGAGATTGAAAGGCGTGTAGATAAATTAAAGTTGACAGTTTGTGTGTATCATGGATCAACAAGAGAAAAAAGGATTAAAAAGTATTATAATGGTTTTTATGATAAAATATATATATATGTATATATATATATATATATATATATATATATATATATATATATATATATATATATATATATATATATATATATATATATATATATATATATAACGATAAAATTAAATCATTTAAGCTATATTTTGTTTCTATTCATGACCTTAAATTTTTATTTTATTAAATGTGCTATTATAAGTAATGCATACGTAATATTTATGTGTTACTTATTAAGTGTTATAATTATATATTATTTATGTAATATATATATTTATATTGTTTAAAAATCATCATTACTTATGTATTTATAATATGAAAGTATTATAAATACATATGTAATGATGATTTTTTTACTAAAAAATTATCAGTAGTATCAATTAATAATATAAGTTTTATTTGAATTATTTTAAACTATATATTCAGAGTTATTTAACTAATATTTTAAGGTTAGCATCATATGACATGGTACTAACAACATACAATATTGTCAGCATTGAGGGAAAGAATTTTGTGGATAAAGACAAAGTAAATACTAAAAAGGTTTGAAGGTCTAACAATTGAAGTTATATATATATTTTTTTATTTGCCTAATGTTCAATAGTTCACAAGTATAAAGTGTATATAATATAAAGCATATATAAACAGCCTCTTGCAATAGAAAATTACTAAATGATTCTAAATTTTGATTTGCCTTCTATATATTGCAGATGCTATCCTTTTTTTAACATGCTTTATATAGAATAGATTGCAGATACTATCCTTTTTTTAACATGTTTTAGACTGATCATTAAAAGAACAAAAAGCTAGAAACATATTAGAATTGAGAATTCAATTCTAATATGTTTATATTAGAATTGAATTCTCAATTCAATATAAACATTCTCATTTAAATTTATTTAAATTGCAACTTTTTCTGTTAAATTGCTACTTTTCTTGTACTTCTTTTTTTCAAAACTCATTTTTGAATCTAATGAACACACACACAGATGTATGTGTGTGTGTATAATATAATTTAAACATCATTACTTTTTAAGATAGGGAGGTTAATCAAAATGTTTATCATTTGATTGTCTATGCCACTCTCAGTTGGGGTATTAGTTGTGGTTGTAGTGTGGTGTGTGTGTGTGTGTGTGTGTGTGTGTGTGATGTCTTAGTTTTGGAATAAGTTAGTTGTGGTTATAATAGGCATTGATGTGCCAATGCGTCCTGATAATTTTGAATATATGATTTGATTAAGAGGAGAAAGTGTGTGCAGTTTTTAAGAAGAATGATTGCTTGGATAGGTCAAGTTCGTGTCTTGTAAAGTGCTTTTATTCTTATTAATAATTTGTGGGGGTTTGTGGATTTTTGTAGATAATAATATCTAAAAAAGTGCTGTCTGAATGGTTAAAATAGAAATTGATATTAGTGTGAAAGTCGATTGATATACAAGTGGTAACAATTTTCAACAGCTTGTAAAAAGTTTTCTTAGACATTAATTTTAATTAGTTAATATCAAATTTAGTTTTTCATATGCAGCAATAGTAGCAATGGTAGTAATAGTAGTGCACCAATAGAATTTGAAGATCATGGTTTTATTAAAGAGCAATTTTGAAAATGTTTCAAAATGTTTCAAGGTTATATTGCAGCTATATCCCCAGCAAATTTTGATTCCCACTATGTCCCTGGTAGTATCCTGCTCAACTTGTTTCTCTCCGTAGCGGCCTTGTTCATCAAGGATCGTGTTTTAGAGTTGAAGAGTTAAGAGAGGATTGTAACCACAATAAAGTAGCCTCCTTGACTGTAGTGGCCCTTTTGACTTTGAGGAGTTGAACTACATAATTAAAAAAAAAATAGTCTTAATAAAAACTTGGCTATGTCAGTGGGTAATATCTAGGAATCATTTACAAAATTTAGTTGTGGTAGCAGACAAAGCATCTTGTTCATTTGGAAAGTTTCTTTTTAAAAAATTCAACAGCTCATTTATTCATAATTTACCTAATGTATTTTATTTACCTGTGTTTATTATCTTTTTTGGTTATAATTCATGTTCTTAAAAAACTGTTAACCACCAGTTTTTAACCCAGAATATATCAACTTGTTCTGGTAAAAATATTTTACCAAATTAAAATTTAAATTTTTTAAAAAGACTTCAAAAAAGACAAATAAAATATATTTTAAAGGTTTTTATCAGATTTGTGTAATCATCTTTACTCATGTTTAACTCATGTTTTGATGTACAATTTTTCTGACGTATCTTTCACAAAAAAAGTTCATGTAAAATGGACAATTAACCTTAAACTGCATGTATATTTAGTTAAATGAATGTAGTATAAGGTATATTTGTACTGTATTTTGCTCTCAACTATACACAACATAATTTTAGGCACATATTTATTCTCAATAGGTAATTTTTATAAAGCTTTTATTTTTATAAGGCTTTTTGGATAGGTATAGCGATAAGCTTTAAATATGATCTTATATCAGTTCTAAAAGTTGTTTTTCAACACCACATAGCAGCGTGTCAAATTTCGTAAACAAATTAATAACCAAGCTTAATAGCTTAATTTTCAATTTATTTTAAAGCTTTAAATAACATTGCCTTTTGTGACACATTTCTAACGGTTCTGATGGTGACGTTTTTAACAGTCAGTTTTTTATGAAAATTTTATTTAATTATATTTTATTTTTTTGTTTTTTAACATTTTTATTTTAAATTTAATGGAAACCAATTAATTTTTTTTAGAATCAGTTGTCTGATTGGTTAGAGACAAGTGCACCAAAAAATGCTGAAGACGGACCTTTATTTAAAATATTTTGGAGGCGCGTAGTTCTTGATGAAGGTCATACTATTAAAAATCACAAATCTGGATTAGCTATATCTTCTTGTGCAATTGAAACAGGTATTGCTTCATGTGCAGTTAATACATATAGATGTCATACAGTAAGACATTTTTATGAGTATTTAAAAAAAATATTTTATCACAAAAAATGAAAACATTTGTTATGTCAAGTTAATTTTTCAAATAATAAAAAAACATTGTGATTAAAAACATTTATTAAAACAATTTCATAATAAATGTTGAATATTAGAACAGTTCATTCATATCTGTAAAAAGTTATATAATTTGACTATATAAAAGTAAAAGGATTTTTTTTATAAAAATCTAATATGTTTTTATTAGGAAATATTCATCAATATTTCTACTTAGTTGAATTTTCCAATATAAAATTGTAATTAATTTTCCAAAGATTTATATGCAACCAAACATGTATCTATCATAATAAGATTCTGTTGTTTTCATATTTAATTGTTTGAGTTAATAATTTTAACTGCATGTCTTTTAACTATTTCAATTGTTTTCATATCAATTCATATTATGCTGTTCTTTAATTCATATCATGCTGTTCTTTAATTAGTAGTGGTTGAATTATTAAATTAAACACTTTCAATGAAGTTTAGGTAATAAGCTCAAATAATTAGCTAGATCTTTGGTAGTAAGCTCAAATAATTAGCTTGGTCTTTGGTGGAGAACTCAAATTGCCAGCTTGATCTTTGGTGGAGCCTATAATAAGTTTTTTTTTTAAATGAGCTGTTAAAAAACTTGATTAATATTGACTTTGAGTTGATTAGGTAGCCATTATATAATATTTTGTAAAATTAATAAACTAACAGTCTTTATAAACTAGGTTCAGTTGACTTTTACTCACAGCATGTCACTGTGTCATTGGCATATTTCACTGTGTCATTAGTACATTTAATGCTCAAAATTTATTTGAGATTTTTTTAGAAAATATAGAAAGAAAATAAAAATCTTTATAAAGAAAATAATAAAAAGTAGAACGTCTAAAATAAAAAAATGTTTGAAAGTATCTTTTTTGATTCAACTGAGTGAATAAAAAGATAATAAAACAATCCAATTGTTTACACATTACACCAAATTCTAACATTTTTTTTAATAGGACACAAAGAGATAATGTATCTAACACTTTCTAATGTTGTAAGACATCAACTTGTATTCCTTTTTTTTCAATCTCTTGTGGATATTTTTGAATATTTTAAGCAAGTTGTGTTGACCTTTTTGTTTGGTATAATCGTTACTTATTTTTATTTAAAAAAAAATATTTTCTTCAATAAATTTTACTGACAACTTCCTGCATTTAACCAGGCGTGAACTTCCTGGTTAAATGCACATCCGCGGTGCTCTGTGACAAGACCAATAGGTCTTCTTGGGGCAACTTTAAAAAAAAAATCTTTTTTTAGAACAAACTATTACTAGTATCTATAGATAGCATTATATTAAGCATTTAATAAAACTCAAAAAAAAAATACAAGAAAATTAAAACTAATATTTTTATTTAGCAAATAAAAAAAGTTTTTAATTGTATATTTTTTTCTTTTTTTTAAAGAAAGTCGTTGGATAGTAACAGGCACTCCTATTCAAAACAAAACATTGGATTTATATTCACTTATTAAATTTTTGCGAGTATCACCATTTGACGAGTATAAAGTTTGGAAAAGAGAGGTAGAAAGTAACAGCATGGCTGCAACACGAAGACTCAGTTCGCTTGTAAGCAGTTTATTGCTGCGAAGAACAAAAGACCAAACAAATAAAGAAACTGGAAAAAAACTGGTAAAAATATCTAAAAATAAAAAAATGTTTCATAAATTTTTTATATGATTTTTAATGATCTTGTAACTAATTTTCAGGTAGATTTGCCAAAAAAAAGTACCATAGTGCACAAAATTAAGTTATCGGAAGATGAATCATCAGTATATGATCTAATTCAAAAATTTTCAAAGTAATTTTGTGTTTCTGTATATACACACATTTATTTTAATATAGTTTGTATTGTTAAAAGTTAAACTCATACCAACTAATCTTATGATTTTTTAGAAATATGTTTACACAATACCTGCGTAAAGATACATCAGCAAATAATGATTGTAAAGCCTCTGTTGGAATGCCAAGTGATGTTCTTGGGTTGAACATTGAGGAAGCTCTTGCAATGTTTGGTTTGAAAAATGTTTCTGCTGTAAATGCAGGTTGCATATTAGTACTTGTTTTAAGATTACGCCAGTGTTGCGGGCATTTGAGTTTGATGTGTGAGGTGCTTATTTGTTTTGCATTTTTTTTGTTGTTGCTTTTAATTTGTTTTAAAATAGTTTTATTATTTTTTTCAAAATGATTTGTTTTTAAAAAATGTCAATGTTAATTTTGTCCAACATAGGCTGTTGATCCGGACCTGCAAAAGAGTGAAGGAATTGATCTACCATTAGATGAACATTTTGGAAATCTTTCTATTCATCAAGATTTGTTTGAAGTATTGTTATTAAATTTTAATTTTTTTTTTAATTTCAATTGTTAAGTTTAATTGTTCTTTTTAAATTTTAATTGTTTAGTTATTTTTTTTTTACTTTAATAATTATTAAATTTTTTTTTTATAATTGTTATTAAATTTTAATTTTTTGCAAAATTTTTTGCAAAACAATTTGCATTACCAATTATCCTGTCTTTTATTTGCAGAAGCAAAATTCACGTCCAAGAGAATTATTACCTAGTTTTCCAAGTACTAAGGTAGGCTTGAAGTTTTAAGTATAATTTTAAAACATGTAGTACATCCAATACCTACAATGTGTTTCCCTGTCTCTAAATTTAACCTTTTTTTTTTTTTTTTTTTTGTTACTACTGACTATTTGTTAAACAAGATGATAAATAGCAATCATGTAACCTTTAGACAGCAATCATATTTTACATGATCCTCCCTAAGTATAACCTTTAGACAGCAATCATATTTTACATGATCCTCCCTAAGTATAACCTTTAGACAGCAATCATATTTTACATGATCCTCCCTAAGTATAACCTTTAGACAGCAATCATATTTTACATGATCCTCCCTAAGTATAACCTTTAGACAGCAATCATATTTTACATGATCCTCCTTAAGAATAACCTTTAGACAGCAATCATATTTTACATGATCCTCCCTAAGAATAACCTTTAGACAGCAATCATATTTTACATGATCCTCCCTAAGAATAACCTTTAGACAGCAATCATATTTTACATGATCCTCCCTAAGATTTTGAAAAAATCTTAGGGAGGATCATGTAAAATATGATTGCTGTCTAGGGAGGATCATTTAAATATATATTTTTTCTTTGTTAATTTTAATAAGTTTTCAAAAAATTTAATCAGACTTAATTGTAGATATGTATCAGAGTTGGTCAACCGTAACTTCTACATTTCTACCAGTGACATGCAAAATATCAGTTAGATATGTAGCAGTTAGCAAAATATTTTTCTAATTTCATAAGTTCAACCTTGATAGGTTCATATTTGTGTAACTTGTTAATTAATTGAATTTTAGTAGTTTTTTCAAGCGCCAAACCAGCCTATACAACAAAGTTGAAAAAAAGTTAGTTTATATTAAAAAATGATTTAAGTAGTATGTCTTTGCAAACTGTGTACTGAACATCAATTACTTTTAGTTTGTTTTGTGTAGTGGCTTTAAGTTTGATTGTTGTTGAAAACTTTTAAACTGTGCATCCAATAATAATTGACAGGTCTGCACAAGATTCATTTCAAAACGGACCTGTCAATCTTTAGTTTACTGAACTATTAAATTTAAATTAAAAAGTTTATTTTCTGCTTTTTATTACAAAAAAGATTATATTTTTTAGTAAATGTTTTTGCTATATTTTATTTTCTACTTTTTAGTCTTTTCAATGAGTTAAGTTATTTAATTATTGTTATGTAGCATTGTTATTGTTGTGTTGTATTATTATTAAACAGTGCTTAAGTTCCCAGTAGCAAGCAACATTATATTAGTGTAATATTGGTACAATATTTATCTCAATAGACGATTTCATAGTTAGTGTAGCCATCTTGGAAAAATATTCTTGGGGGTGCAAGTTGAACTTTAAACTTTCCGTTTTTATATGAAATGTCATACAAAAGTATGAAAATTTTCTTAATTTAAGATCAAAAATAACTCATAGATTATTATTTAATTCTTGGTTTAAAATTATTAGGAAAAAAAGTTTAACTTGATGCAAGAGCTTTTGTTGCTATGGAACTTATTATTGAAATTATATTTTCACAATTTAAAACCAAAAGAAAAAGTGATATTATACCTTTTTTATGGTTTTAAATTTTATATTATAAAATAAGTTTATGCATTTTTTTTATTTAATTATACATTATATAATAGTTATATATATAGTAATATATATATAATATATATAATAGTTATATAATTATATAATAAAGTTAAATAATTATATAATAGTTATATATATATTATATTGAACAGTAAAGTTAACACCAAAAACACCAACACCAAAAAAAAGGAAAGTACCCTTTCCACGAAACTCAATTATTAAATCTAAAAAAGTTTAAGTTATGAACTAATTCAAATTTGATGGATGGTTGTTGCAGTTTCTAGTGTTGACTGCAACGATTTTGAGTTGAATTTTGTTGCTGCAGATAAAAGAAAAAATAGCAAGATCTAGTGAATTTCTATTGCCTGTATAAATGATGTTCTGCCAGTTGACACATGAAAATCATGTGCAGTTTTTTACAGGTTTTGCGAGTACTAAAGTTTTCAAAAGTTCTATCTTTTGAAGGTTTTTCTTCAAGGAAGTGATTTGAACCAACAAAAAAGTTTTAAAGGACAACAGAAATCTTTTATAACAGTGCTAACATGATGTATCCATGAATTTCTTCTTTCTATATATGTTGATAATTTGTGCATTAAATTTCCTTCAACATTGCTATGTTTTATTATTTTGTCAGGGTATCTTTTGTCATTATTGCAGACACCAACTACACATCTGCTATGACTTGGCATTATATTACATATTAGATATTACTTACTAAATGCTTTTATTCTAAAAAAAAAAAAGGCATTAAAAATATATTAACTAGTTTCAAACTAATAAATAATTTTTTAAAATGAGATCAAACAATTCACTGTAATAAAGTAGTTTCACTGTAATAACTTTATGTACTAAATTCACTGTAATAAAATGTATAATGTAATAAAATGTATTCACTGTAATAAAATGTATGTACTAAAGTGAGTTGTTGATATAAAGTTTTCCTACGGTATAGTCGGTACCATTTAAAATACTAAAAGTGTAACTTTACTGTTCAATATAAACTATATATATAACTATTATATAATGTATAATTAAATAAAAAAAAAGCATAAACTTATTTTATAATATAAAATTTAAAACCATAAAAAAGGTATAATATCACTTTTTCTTTTGGTTTTAAATTGTGAAAATATAATTTCAATAATAAGTTCCATAGCAACAATAGCTCTTGCATCAAGTTAAACTTTTTTTCCTAATCATTTTAAACCAAGAATTAACTAATAATCTATGAGTTAATTTTGATCTTAAATTAAGAAAATTTTTATACTTTTGTATGGCATTTCGCATAAAAACGGAAAGTTCAAAGTTTAACTTGCACCCCCAAGAATATTTTTCCAAGATGGCTACGCTAACTCCGAAATTGTCTGTGTTAGCTAAATTTATTAACAAAATTGCCCCAATATAAAATATCCACATTTTGCTATATACATATATATATATATATATATATATATATATATATATATATATATATATATATATATATATATATATATATATATATATATATATATGTATATATATATATATATGTATATATATATATGTATATATATATATATATATATATGTATATATATATGTATATATATATGTATATATATATATGTATATATATATATGTATATATATATATAAATGTATATATATATATGTATATATATATTGATATTTAAGGTTGTTTTGTCTTATAATAATAAAACAAAACTCATAGTCAAAAAAGAGTGCTCAATATTAAAAAGATATTTCAAATAAAGCGATATACATAAACAACATTTTCTATGGTACTTTAAGTTTCATGCCTATACAGCAATCATCAGCCATTGAATACAAAATCAAAAACAAAAAACCCGCTAAAAATTACAAAATACTGTGTAGTGGGATCTTAACGTCGCTAAGACACTCTTGATGGCAACCAAAGAAAAAACAAAATATCAGCTAATCTTCGGTGTCAAAAAAAGATAAAAGGAATTTATTTTTGTGTCTGCATTTTGAAATCAACTCTTTTCGTTTATTTAATAAGTTATCATCTTTATATGTTAAAATGAGGAATTTTTCGAATAAGTAAAGATGGCAAATTTTTGACGAGACGTTATAAGTATTGCAACGTTTTACAATTTCCCATTTAATTGAGGGTGTAAACATTTTGTCTTTTATGTCCAAAATTTCTTCAGACAACTCGGTATCATTTTTATATTTGTTAATGTTAAAAGATTTTAGGTGATTTGCATACCGAGATTTGAATGGAGTTTCACATAATCCATAATTCTTTGTAGTCAGGTTTATTTGATGACACAGTGGCTTGATAAACGATGTTTTTTGTCAAGCATTGATTGTTCGTGAGACAGATGGATTTGTTGACACAATTGCATGTTTTTCCCTCATCTTTATCTTGGCTATATAATATCCTGTGGTTGTGCGAATTAATGATGGACTTGATATTTGGTCAAAAAATTGAAGCTTTTAAATATTTTTTTGCGTACAAATAAGGTTTTTGTTATGTAAACATTATTTGTATGAAATACAAATAATGTTTTCATAACAAAAACCAAAACCTCTGCTACAAATAAAATATTAAAATTAAAAAAAAATCTTCCTAAGGAGGACTTGAACCACTATCACTCACGCCTCAAAAGAAGAGTGTTATTTCATACACAACACTACACAAATATATTGGTGACCTAACAAAAATCAAATTTGTAGACAAGTTACTTGTTGATAAGTCTTGTCAAGTGAAAGAAAAGATTATAAAAATTTATTCATATTTGTGTGTTTCAGATTAATTACCATATTGTAATTTTTTTTTTTTTAAATGAAGGGTTACCATCCAAAATTTACAAACTCCTATCCTTATCTACAATTAAATTGAGGGCTTTATATCCAAGTTTTTCTTCTTTTAGATAAGTTGTTTTTGCCATGGCTAAGTAGCCACACTACCCCAGTGAAGGGTCATTTTAACATTGTGACCTAGACAACAAGAGGACATTATGATAAAACAATATAGATATCACATAGTTTTTGTTATCTAGCAATTAATTTTGTATACTAATAATATATATATTTTAAACAAATTAAAAGTATTTATTAATAAATATATGATTTATTAATAATTTAATTGAAAGATGGTCTGCATTTAATTAATAAATGCAAATAAATTAACTTGAATGAAATATATTTTGTTATGATGTTTATCTGATATCTGTTAATAATTATTTGGTTTTGTATGAGTTTTATTGGTAAATATTTAATTAAAAATTTCTTTTTTCTTTAATGTTTTATATTTTTTTATATTTTAGATAAAGGCATTAATAAAGTGTTTGAAAGACTTGCAGTATCAATCATTAGGAACCAAGTCGATTAAAAGGTGTCCTATATTATAAATAAATTTAAAATAATTTATTACTGTAACTTTTTTTTAGTCATTTCTAAGAATTTTTTTATTTAATTTATTTTAGTGTTATTGTATCTCAATGGACTCGCATGTTAGAAATTGTAGCAGATCATCTTAAGAAACAAATGTTTAAGTTGGATTTTATAACAGGAAGGTAATTATTATTTCTATAATATATATAATATATACTTGATACTAGCGATGAGCTCAATAAAAAGAATAAAATTAGTAAATGAGAACATGTATGAAAAATACATGATATGAAAAATACACAACTCTATTTTTCACATGAGCGTGAAAAATAGAGTTGTGTAGTCTCGTCTCATAAGCGAGAAGTTCCGAGTTTGATCCCCACCACATTCCTTGTAGTACTGCACTCAACTTAATTCTCCGTGCAGTGGCCTTGTTCCTCAAGGTTTGTTTTTTTAGAGAAAGTTGTAACAATAACTAAAGTAGCCTCATTGACTGTAGAGGCCTTCATGGTCTTGGGGAGGTGAATTAAAATAAAAAATAATAACATTAAGAAAAAAAATATATAATAAAACATTTTTGTAAAAATGCCTGTTTTTATTTTTTGTTAAAAAAAATTTTTTCCTGTTTATTTCCGGCAGTGAATTCCAAATAGTTAATTTTTATAAAATGATAATTATTTTTAAAATTTTTATAAAATTTTGCTTCTTTTGAAGAACTTTTTTTTGATAATGTTAGGGACCCGTCTGATTTTTAAAGGTCTTATGTTACCCACACAGCTTATTAAAAATACATGTTTTAAGGACCACGCCAAAGTATATATTTATGAAAAAATTAGATTTAAATATGTATTTACAAAATAATAAAATATAAAAATTGTCACTTTGGTTCACCTATACTTTAAAATTATGTTATCCAAATAATTTTAAAAAAATAATTGAAAAAAGCAACAACCCATAATACAGGTCATGGTACATCTGTTCCTAACCAACCATTTATATACTTTTTAAATATTCTTTTTTAATTTCAAAATGTTTTTTACTCTTATTCATTTTTTTTTAACATTAAAATGCAGCAAAAAGTTAAAGACTTTTTCCATTTGTTGTAATGACTAAATTTTATTTCAACTGCAAAAAGTTTTATTCAAACCAAAATTTTTTTTATTTTAACATTTTTAAAAAAAATTTCAGGTTGAGAAAAAAATTATAACGATTCGCAAGTTATAGATTTTTTCAGTACTTAACAACACCTTTATTAAAACAATTTTAATGGTAAATTGATTTAATTTTCTTTTTTATCAACAACTGTTTAAAATCAAGTTTTTCAATCAAAAGACAAAGCTCTCAAATAAAAAAAAAGGTGAACTTCATCTTGCTCTACATGTTGTTAAGTCACACCACTTGGAAAACATGAAAACAATATAGTATAAATTTATATATAAACTATAAACATATTTGAACTTATATATCACATATATAGCCTTACATAACATATATAAAATCATTTTATAACAATTATAAACATATTGACAAATATAACTATAAAAACTATAAAAAAAATATATTATTAATATCTCAAGTCATACATACAACATGTACTAGCAATCTATAAACAATAAATTTTGAAATAAAAGATCTAAAGACTATTAATAATACCAAAAAAACTGACTTACTAAGTATATAAGATGTTAAAAAACACTGACTAAGTATATAGATGCTAAAAAATCAATAACTAAATGCTATATTTGACCAATCACTACATTTATTGACTCTCTTGAGCAATTGAAAAGTTTAATTTTAAATTACTTACACAATTCTTAAATTTAAACTTATTGTACTAAGAATTTAATTTACTTTTCTTTTTTATTTTATATTTTTTTAAGTAGAGCAAAATATCTAGGGCTTTTTGTATAAGATTTAAAAAAAACTTGATGTTTTTTTTGTGTTTTTTTTTAAATTCTTTTATTATTCTGATTTACTCCCAACAAGGTTGCAAGCAACCACTATTAAGTTGGGAGTTACTAGAAAAAAGAATAGAATTATAGAGCAAGGAAACGGTTGGCAGAAGACTTAAAAAGTTGAAGGTTTTATGAGTCAGGGAAATATGAAGATGGAAGAGAGTTCCAAAGGGTTGAAGTGCGGGGGCAAAAGCTAGACGAGCTTTAAAAAGCTTTAGTTCTATTTCAAAGAAAATAAAACTTTGAAAAACATTTAATTTCTTTATAAATTTATAAAGAATAATAATGCTTTTAAATTTATTTTATCTTTATTACTTTTATTAGCTAAATATAAAAGCAAACAAATAATAATTAATTTTCATTTTATAATCTTCATAATAATCGATATTTATAATCTTCATAATAATCGATATTTATAATCTTCATAATAATCAATATTTATAATCTTCATAATAATCGATATTTATAATATAAAACTTGGCAATTATAATGGCTTTTCCCATTTGTTAAATAGCTATGACTGGCATCTTGAATTCAAAAATTTAGATGCTAATGTTTCATACAACAAATTTGTCAATATTTACAATAAAGGACTTATATATTTCATTCCAACAATTACAAAGGGAGTTGTTAAAACAAAAGCGCCTTGGATGAACTCTAAGTTAAAAAAATTAATTCGAAAGAAAAGAAACCTCTGGAGAAAATGTTTAGATAATCGTTTTTTAAACAAAGGAAATGTATTAGAATGCAAATCAGTTAAAAATAAAGTAAAAAAAGAAATTAAGAACCAAATTAAATTATATGAAACTACCATCGCCTTAAACGTTAAAAAACCCAAAATCAATTTATGCATATATAAACAAAAAATCAAAAGTTAAAGAAGGAATTAACGCATTAAATGTAAATAGCAAACTTGAAACAAATTATTTATCTATAGCACATTCCATAAATAACTGTTTTAGCTCTGTTTTCACCAATAAAATTAGTGACAATATACCATTCTTTAAAAATAGGATAAATATTGTTTGTGAGGACTCTACATTTTCACTGGACACAGTTTCTATAATCCTAAAGTCACTAAATCCAAATAAATGTACAGGAGTAGATGGAGTTCACCCATTTCCTTTAAAATGTTGCGCAGATGCGTTCTTCCTTCCTTTATCACTTATTTTTAATAAATCGTATGACAGGAATAATTCCATCGATGTGGTTAAATGCTAATCTAACACCATTATTTAAAAGTGGAGATAAATTGGAGCCATCGAGTTATTGACCAGTATCACTTACTTCAGTTATAAGTAAAGTAATGAAACGTATCTTAAAAGCTACATTTATGTCGCACTTAGAAAATAACAATCTCTTGACTAAGGAACAGCATGGATTTTCTAAAAAAAACAACAACTGTTGTACAAACCTTATAGAATCTATGGATCTAATTACTCAAGCAATGGAAGATAATTTACCAGTAGATATTATTTTCCTGAATATGAAAAAGCTTTTGACTCTGTTCCTCACAATTGATTGTGTCTTAAACTAAAAAGTTATGGTTTTAACTATAAAGCAGTTAGATGGTGCAAAAATTTTGTATGTAACAGAATGCAACGTGTTGTCTGCAACTGTGAATTTTCAAATTGGTCTCCAATTACAAGTGGAGTACCGCAAGGGTCTGTCTTGGGTCCGTTTATGTTTATTGTTTATATAATTGACTTACCGAATGAGTTATCAACGAACTGTAAAATGTATGCTGATGATATTAAACTAATTAACATAATTAGATCATCTTCTGATATAGAAAAGACTCAAACAGATCTAAACAAATTAATGGCATGGTCACAATTATGGCTATTAAAATTTAATGTCAACAAATGTAAGCCCATGCATATAGGTAGCAAAAATACTAAGCATATATACACAATGTATGATTCAGTGTTAAATAGAGTTGAGCGACCAGAAACCAAAATTGAAAAAGATTCAGGAGTTATGATTCCAAACAACTTAAAATGGTCTAGTCAAGTTAATTATGTGTCTTGTAAAACTAATAAAATGTTAGGAATAATAAAACATTCATTTGAAAACTTAGACATGAACGCATCTAAATTTTGTACACCTCTCTTGTAAGACCGTATCTAGACTACTCAAATTCAGTGTGGTATACTTACTTAGAACAAGATTAAAAAAAAATTGAATTGATACAACGTAAATCAACACAAATAAAATGTCTTCAAGCGAAAAACTATGAAAGTAGACTAACCTACTTTAAATTAACGACTCTTGAAAAAGATGCGAACGTAATGACCTAATCCAACTTTACAAAATAGTAAAAAATATAGATTATTTAACATTGGAATACCCACCAGATTTAATAGCTTCAAATACGAGAGGTCACAATATGAGGTTTCATAGACAATTAACTAAAAATAAAAAGAGGTGAGGTACTATTTCTTAACAAACTGTGTTATTAACAGCTAGAATAACTTAGATCAAAACATTGTAGATTCTAAAACACTTAAACAATTTAAATCAAAGTTGGACTTATTTTTAACATAAAATGGCTGTTAAAGCCTAGATCTACTAGGCTCCGTACATTGTCATTGTACATGTACACAGTTATTACTAAATAAATAAATAATGATTGATATTTATAATCTTCATATTAATCCATATTTATAATCTTCATAAAAATTGACGTTTATAATCTTCATAAAAATGGATAATTATAATCTTCATAATAATCAATATTTTTAATCTTCATAATAATCAATATTTATATTCTTTACTTTACTATTCTATTTTTTTCACTTTAACTATAAAGTTAAAGTAAAGAAAATAGAAAATGTTAATCAATATAAATGACATATTCAAAAGAAAAAAAAAGAAAGGTAAGATGAAATGTAAAAGAAATTTATTTAGTTTTGAAAAATGTCTGTTTTGCTGAATTCCATAACAGAAAAATTAACAATAGTCTAAAAAACAAAAAATAATAACTAAGCGCATTGAACATTGACTGTACAAATTATGCTGACAGTTTATATGATTATGCTGACTTAAATTATATCTTATTTGATGATCCTAGTTTTGATGTTTTAAAAAAAAATATTAATTATAAACTTGTTGTTTAACTCTTTTAATAGTTTTAATATCTATAAATTTATTTTTATAGTCTTTTTTTTTAATTTAATTTCTTTTATTTCAATGTTATTTAAATATTAAATATGCAAACCATAAAACTCTAAAAACCAAAAATAAAAACTTTACTAAATGATAAAACATTTGCTATTAACAAAACATGTGTTATTATAAAATAAAATGTGTGCTAGAAAAAAACATGTGTTATTTACTATATGCATTATATTTTATGTGCTAGAAAAAAACATGTGTTATTTACGATATGCATTATATTTTATGTGCTAGAAAAAAACATGTGTTATTTACGATATGCATTATATTTTATGTGCTAGAAAAAAACATGTGTTATTTACGATATGCATTATATTTTATGTGCTAGAAAAGAACATGTGTTATTTACAATATGCATTATATTTTATGTGCTAGAAAAAAACATGTGTTATTTACTATATGCATTATATTTTAGTGTATCAGCAAAAAATAGGTCTGATATTGTTGAAAAGTTTAACAATGATGAAGATCTCCAGGTTTTATTTATTTTTTATTTTTGGACAGAATATGTTTTGCTTAATAATTTTGTTGGCAAAATCATGGTAATTTTGTTGGCAAAATCATTTTTTGCTTTAGATATTACTGATTTCTTTGAAAGCTGGAGGTGTTGGATTAAATTTAGTTGGAGGATCCCATTTGTTTCTGCTTGATCAACACTGGTTATTTATTATTTATTTATTTTTTACTGCACCTAGTTTTGTTTTTATACTATATTTGTTAATTTTGTTTTATCAAGTAACAGTTAAATATGTTTAAAAATAACACTTAGTGCTAGGTATAATAATATAATAGTACTGTAAAATGTTTTAAAGGAACCCTGCTTTGGAAGAACAAGCATGCGATCGTGTTTACAGAGTTGGACAACAAAATGATGTAGTCATCCATAGGTTGTTTTTTTCATCAAAATTTCTCTATTCTTCTGACAATTTTTAATCATTACTTACTTTTAATTATTATTTATTGTAAATTTTACTATAAAAAATTATGAAACAGGTTATAAACATTTTTGAAAATGGGTAGTAATAATTGCTATTTATTGTTTCTACTTTATAATAGGTATATACATTACAATCTCTCTAATTCGAAATTTTATGGGGAAAAAAAAAGTTCGAATTAGAGAGATTTTTGAATTATAGAAAGTTGACTTTTTTGAAATATTCATTTCAAAGTAACAAATAGAAATTAAACAAACAAACAAATAGTAATTCTTAGGCCTAAAAGCTATATATGTTATGTGTTTTAAACTTTTAAATTTGAAAAAAAAGTCAGTAATTGTAGATTGTCTTTTATGAGCTAGTAAATTCATGTCAAAGACATGATTTATATCTTTAAGAACCTTTCTCCAAATTAGTTTGCTTTTTCTTAAATTAGTCTAGCCATCCTTCTGAAGCTTGAAAATTTTTGAAGCATAATTCTATCGCAAAATAATAAATAAGCTTTTAATTTTACCAGCAAGCCACTAATTGGTACATTATCAGCTCTAATTTGTTTAAACTATTTAATTACAGCTTTATTTTTTAGGTAATCGAATCAACTTTCACCCGTTTAGTAGAATTTCCTTGACAAAAAGCATTAAAGATTTTATCTTTATTCTTTTTCCAGGTTGATAGAGTGTTTGGTGGAATATCAAAAATATTTGAAACCTCTTTATTTGTTTTTTCTTCCTTCAATTACATTAGAGTTTTGTATTTTCGCTTTAAATTGTTTTCTTTATGTCTCTTTGATGCCATTTTTTTTATTAAACAGTATAAGATAATTTTTACTAATCATTTTTTCAAAAACTCACAACATTCAAAATATGAAAAAAGATTTTGACGGTTTAATGAGTTTTTCACGGTGACTTTGCATTTAATTGAATTTTGGAGGTTTTAGAATTAAGGAGATTGGAATTAGAGAGATAACTGAGAGATACTGTAGTTGCTACATTGTAATGGCTAATTTTGACTTTTTTAATGGCACTGGTCCACTTTTTCTGAAACTAAAATCATATAATTTAAAATTAATTCAGCTGGCTTTTTGTTATCTAATTTCTCTTAAAATGTTTTTTTGTGCTATATATGCCTTCCAAACCTGCAAAAGATTTGACAAAAGCATTTTCAACAACAGTTTCAATAACTTTTTTAATTCTTGAATAGATCAGTTGAATAATATCTGGTTTTTTAAACATATTTTTTAATTTAATTAATGAAGGATTTTCTTATATTTAAATATACTTGCATAAGGAGCAAGAATATTTGCTTCATCTTCTTAAACTATTATATATTAGATATCATTTGCAAGTCTAACATACATTATTTTATATACATTATGATGTATACATTATACATACATTATATACATTATGTATATACATTATACATGCATACATATATTATATGTATGCATGTATTATATGTCTTGTTTCTGATCCCAGTCAAATTTTTTTTTTAACATTTTCGCTTCCAACAAAGTTGCAAGCAACAACTATTAGAGTTGGAAGTTACTGGAAGAGAAAAAATGAAGTTTATAGAGCTTGAAAATGATTGACAGACGAATTAAACAATTGCAAATTATATGAATCTGGAAAGTAAGATGAAGGAAGTTCCAAAGAGCTGATGTTCGAGGAAAAAAACTAGATGAATAAGAATTTTTGGAGCACTTCGAAAAAGTAACAGTAAAGGGATGAGACTTAATTGAATGACAAATATCAAAAGAATAAATTTTAGTAGATGGCACAAGATACGCTAGCTCTTTAGAGCAGTGCCCATTATAGTATTTGTAGAAAAGAGAAAGAGAAGCTACATTACGACGATGTGATAATGGTTGGAAGTTGGCTGCAAGAGTAGGTCCAACTATGTTCACAATGCGCTTTTGCACCTTGTCTAAAAGAGAAAGGGCATCATTGGAAGATTCACCCCCAGATATGGCAACAGTATTCCATACAAGAACAGATTTGATATTTATAAAGATAAAGAATACAATTCGGAGTAAGAAAGTGTCAAGTACGATAAAGAAATGCAACCTTAGCAGATGCTAATTTTGCAATGGATTTGATATATGGTTTCCAATTGGTTTCTTCGCATTCACCCTTAGGTGCTTCTGACACGTTCTGATTTCTCTAAAACTTCTATTTTTCTTCATCATCAAAATCCCCCTATTATTGTACCTCTTACAGCTGACTGGCCCTTGGGTAGAAATCTTTTGTCTTTCTTCTGACAACCTTTTCTATACACATCTTTTATAATTTTTTTTTTTGACTGAACTGTTTAATTAATATGATTTTCTTTGGTAATAGAAACTTTACTCAAAATCAGAATCAAAAGAAAATTCAACACTAGTATCTACTTTGTTTAACTTCAAAATTAGAATCTATCAATTGATCTACCACTTTAGCAATTTGTTTGTTTTGCTAATCTATGCTTTCTGCAAGAATACATGAATGCTTATTCTTGTTAGATTTTTTATTGTAACCAGTTTTCATATATTTTTTCAAAATTATTTCTTTAAATTTTCTGAAAATCACAGTCAACAGTCTGAAAATTTCTTTTATGAATATACAACTTCAACTTTACTGTTGAGTGGCTTTTATTTATACTTCTCCAGCTATTATTAAATTTAGTCAACCATACTACAACAAACATAAAGCTCGTGAAACTTTTCATAGCCTTGACTTGTTAAGTTAAACATAATTACCATGTTAAGTTAAACATCATTGAGTTTGGCAAAGAATCTAAACACTAAGTATAATCATATATTTTCAGCCTATAACACAATTGACAGTGTATAAAACGGGCTATGTGTATGTGTGTGATTTACTTTATATATTCCTTGAATTCTTTTTGTTTATTTTATTAATATTTTTTAACTTAAGATTCCTCTGTGAAAATACTGTTGAAGAGAGAATAGTAAAACTGCAAGAACAGAAAAAATCTTTGGCTAACAATGTTCTTTATGGGTATAATTTAATTTTGTTATATATGTTTTATTAGTTTATACTCGTTTGCATTTTTTTTATTGATTTTTAATAAACTGTAAATTATCAGATAAGCTATGTAGTAATCACCTTATTCTCTCAAACCCATTTTGAAAAAATACCCTTGTTTATAATATTTAAAGTTTTCTTTAATTTTTATTTCTGTTGATTTAGACAAAATCAACTTTGAAATTAAATATTATTTTTTTCCGTTATATTTAAATCTTTTTTTTTTTTGTTAAATCTTTTTGTCTTTGAATGTTTGCAACTTTCTATTATAATTATTATTTTGAACTTCCAGCAAAAGTCTAACATAGTTAATATGACCCCGTTTAAATAACCCTTTTTTGCTCGCTAATAAATAATCCTTAAATGTTAAAAAATTAAGCTCTGTAAGATATTAAATAAGCTCGTTTGCTTAATCAATATTTTACAGTGTTTGATTTTTTCCTAAATTATTTTTAAATATATATTTCAATATGTTTGTGAATTTTTAAATACTTAAAATTTAACCATATAATTTTGTTTTCGCATTTTTAATTATGTATTAATATCTATTTTTAATAATTGATTTTATTTATTATAGCGAAAAATCGCAAAAGCTTACTTTGGATGACTTGAAGATGTTGTTTGGTATATCACAATTTAAATAATGTACTCATAAATAATTTTATTTATAATTTAATAAAAGCAGATTTTTTCTTAATGATTTTCATTTGTTTTTATAATTTTAAAATTTAATTTAAGCGCTATTTACACGAACGTAAATCTAGTTTTTTGGTGATCTACTTAAAATAATTATTATAATTTAAAATTTTAATTTAAAATTTTTTTAAATTAAAACTAGGTAAAAAAAAGGTTTTGTTCAAATCAGTGCACAGTGGGAAATCACGTGGCGAAAAAAAAAATGACTAAGGGGCTGTTTATATAAGACGGGCTAGCCCGGATAGCCGAGCTGGCTCACTCAATCGAGATCTGGGCATGTTTAATATTTACTTATAAAAATTTATCTTGTTTACATGAGAAACGGACTAGCCCAGATAACTGATTAAGCCTGACCTAATAAAAACATCCCCTAAATGTCTTATAGTTTTTTACTAACACCCTTAATAAGAATTTTCCAATTTATAAAATTTTAAATGTGACTGATTTAATAGTAGTGGTTCGTTGAAGTGAGGTTTTTAATGCATTTTTGATAATTTATCTTGAGATGCAGGGTTTTTAGTATTTATATATTATACTAATTACTCTAAATATTTTTAAAAAATTAATGAACATTGTTGGATCAAGGTCCTAGCTTCATTCACCAAGTATTAACACGTGTTGGCAAAATCATCAATAATAATTCACCAGCTCCACTTAGTTTCATGGGAAAAGAAGCTGTTTAATCTCGACATAATTTTTAAAATTTGATCATGAGCACCATGCAACAAAAAACCGACAGAAAGTAACTTGTTTGACATTTTTATAGAGAAAATCTGTTTTGGAATCATAAAAGACTCATGTTTAGAATTAAATGATGAATTATGTACTGAACTGTGTGTATAATAGTTTATGTGTAATTTTATAGTCATTTGTCTACTATGTAAACGTTAAAAAAATTGCAGTGATTGGGCGCCCTACCCCAAATGGGAGGAGAATAAATTAATTCATTTTTTTTTTCCTATTATTTTGTACGTTAAATTCATTGACAAATTTTATTTTTCATCTATTAATCTGTTACAGCTGAATAGATATATAGCGTGCAAAAGTTTAGAAACACCAAATTTTTTTAGTTTTTACCCTATAACTTTTTACAAACTTTCTTAAATAAGCTAACATGTTTACAAAATATGCTCTTCATTATCACAATTTAAAATACAAACCACAAAACAGGGGTGTGGAGTCATAAAAAAAAATAACGACTCCGACTCCAGTTGTTGAAATTTTTTGAGTACAACTCCGACTCCAACTCCAAAGCAAAATTTTTGAAAAATTCTTTGAATTCTTTAAAAAATATTACGCGATAAGTTAAAATTTTTTTTTTTGACAAATTTGTGAAACGTTCCTTGAAGTTTAGTATGAACATAAGGTTAATGGAATGTTTTGTACATGTACGTGCAATACCGAGAAGTTTTACTATTGGAGTCATAGTCGCGATTTTGTTTAGCGACTCCGACTCCGCTAAAAATGTCGAAACACCGACTCCACAGCCCTGCTACAAAAGCTGTAAATTGAAAGGTTAATTAACTATTAGATGTATTTTTGAAAAAGCTTCCGTGAAAAAATTTACAAACAGCGTCATACCCCGCAACTTAATCGTATTTTTGTAAACAAAAGCAAAGTTTAAGATCAAAATATTTCTGAAATTTAATAATTTAATTACTTTGAGATATTTCAAAGGCAGTGAAGTATAATTAATTACCAAAATATTGGTAAAATTTATTTATTAGTTGGTCAGTTGATGCCTGTTCAAAAGTTTTTTTTTTCTGATGAATCAAAGTTTATGCTAATCAGTAGTGACGGAATTAGATATGTTAGGCGCTCAGTAGGAGACAGATGTAATCCAAAATATCAGTTTCCCACTGTTAAACATAGAGGAGGAAATGTAGGTCCAGTTCATCACGTAGAAGGTATTATGGACCAGAGAGTTTATTTAGTCGTCATAAAGAATGTTATGTTGCCACATGCAAAACATAAAATAACTCGCAATTGGATCTTACAACAAGATAATGATCTAAAACATCGTTTTGTTAAGAAATTTTTAAAGTCACAGTTCTTGAATGGCCAAAAAAATCAAAGTTCTTGAATGGCCTTCACAGAGTCCAGACTCAATCCTATAGAGCATCCTTAAGAGTTCATCGACCGGCAATTGGTAGAAAAACAACCAACAAAGACCATTTATTTGCATTAATTAAAGAATGTAGGTATAATATTCCTCAGGATGTTCTCATTAAATTAGTAGATTCAGTGCCTCGTCGCTGTGATTCTGTTTTAAAGGCAAATGGAGATGCCACCAAATACTTTTTGACTAGTTAGTCGGCAAACGTAGTCCTCTTTGACAAGTTAGTCGATAAACTTAGACAGTTAGTCGGCAAATGTCGTTATGGGAGTCGGCAAATTTTAAAAAATGAGGACCTTTTTTTTTTTCTTTTGTCGTCAAAAATTGTAATGGCACCCCCTCACCACGTGACATCTTCTCGCGCCGGCCCTGTGTATATATTATATATATATATATATATATATATATATATATATATATATATATATATATATATATATATATATATATATATATATATATATATATATATATATATATATATGTATATATATATATATAAGCTATGAAATGAGGCCAAGAAAGGAATACGCGCTGCTTAACTCTGTATTTTTATTGAAACAATTCTAAGATAATGATTAATAGACATAAAATAAACAAATAAACAGAATAGTTATCATCTTAAAAAAACAACAATAAAACAAATTCCAAGCCTTGGTAAAAATCATAATTTATTGGAAACATGAGCTAAAAGACAATCAAAACAACTTTCAAACATAAACTTATCCCAATAAATAATTACGAGTATTTACAAAGCATGACGCCTTGATTTCGTTTCTGCAAAAGATTGAATAATATCATCGTATGATATTGATTCAATAATATCAGATTCAATCAAAAAAACAGCTAAAGCATTAATCTAACTTCTGACATTTTTGACATTAAGTAATTTTTATTTCTTTTGAGACACGAAAAGGAAGGTTCGGCAGTAGAATTAGTCGCAGCCATACTTAGTATGTAACTAAGGTAACCGTATATACAAACCAAAACAACAAACTTTACTCTACGATTTCATAACAACTTATGATGTGGCACAGAATCGACTTCATTTAATTCTTATTTAATTGCACTGAACCTCCGATCGTCGTACGAGTACCTGATTCAG